AGTCCTTTAAATTGTTTTGTATTAATACATTTATGGCCCGGAGTTCTAATTATAACCACAAAATATTTGCTCTATATATGAATAATTCTACATTTCACTTGCTGAAATCTCTTATGTATTTAGTTGAATTTTACCTTTTTAGAAACTGAAAGCAAGTTAAGATGTTAACTAACCACTTGCACACTAAAAAAACACTAAAATACCACTTAGTATAAGCTCGTTTTATACTATTTTTAATGTAAAACCGAATAACTCCAGAAGTAAAACATAAAATTTAAATTCTACAGAACAAATAGTATATTTATGCCGGACTAATCCACATTACAAATCTTTCGAAGTCGGTAGCCTTTTGTCACTTTGAAAAATAGAAAAATCACGAATCTGTGAAATATTTCTACGTTTAATTGGAGTCGAGATAGAAGAAATGTTTGATCAAAATAATAATAAGTAATAATAATAATAAGCTGAAAATATGCATGTAAGATATTACAGACAATTAAGAAACGAAAAAGATGGTTTAATTTCTAGAAAATCAAACTAAATCATTTTGCAAACTTTCAGATACTTACAAAATGATTGTTTCCCTTCATTAAGCGTAAAGTGTGAACAAGATAGAGCTAAAATGCAAGAGGTGAAACTGAACCAAAGCTAATAACCAACTAAACAAACATTGAACCGGTTTCAATTTTCATAACCTCTAATAGTTGAAGTTCAAATTTGGTCAGACCAATCGATAGGTTCTTTTCTTTTTTATGACAACTTCTATCTTCTAGGTAATGAGTAACTAATGCTATTAAAATATGTTTTAAAGTAAAGCCTAATGACATTACTAATCTTATTTTGTAAAAGAAACAAAGAAGAAATAGATCCTTGGCATATAATTAGCTCACAACCTTACATTTTTGATAAAGTTGAATTAGACATGTGGTTTGTATATTTTGTATTTTTCGGGTTTGATTTGAATTAAATAAGAGTTATGGTCCATTTAGTCCAGTCATTACAGTGTTAATGTAATATGATATTTGGCTATTTGCCATAAATATTGGTGTTACTTGTTAGTGTTACTGTATTTGAAAGTGCATAAAATCAGGTATGAGAAAAGTAAATGAAGTCAAAGGATCTTAGGTCTTCTTCTGTATATATTGCTGGGACCGCAAGTCATGTGACGCTGCCTGCTCTGCCGATGCTGCACGGCGTCGCAACAGTCTCTCTATTATTATTATTTAATTCTTTAACGAACATTTGCCCAATTTCCGATGAAAAAGCTGACTTCAATTCTCTGCCTTACTCGTGTACTCTATGATTCTTTAGTATACTATTAAATCCAACATCTCTCTTCTTTTTTTCTTGCTGTTTTGTAAAAAAAAGGGCCAAGTAAACACGTTGTTGATCTTTCAAATAATGTTTATATCATTATATGATTTTCTTTAAAATATTGTTTTTCGTGCAAATGTCTTCGTTACGAAGATTACTACTAAAATACTCCAAAGTTATTTTTAAAATAGATTATAAATAAAGTTAAAATGTATGTGTCTACGTTCTAGGCACACCACTAATGCATGTTGACACGAATGAACGAAGGAAAATATGCCTTCTCCGCATTACCATAGTACTGTAAACTTTTTTTTTAGACGACAGCATAGTAAACTAACTTTACATTTTACCAAAAATAAATAAAATAGTAAACTAAAATACACCAAACCAAAATTTTGGCATTGGTTCTGTACTTCTGCTTGAGTTATTCAAATCGATTATTTTTTTGCATTGACCTTTTTTACTACAAATCCCCCCTTCATTCAAAATAGATTTAAGAAAGAAAAAAAAAAAGAGATGCTATTTAAAAGCCCATCACAAGCCCATAAAAGGTCCAGGCAAGTCAAGAAGTCGGATACTTCAACTTCTCATCCGACCGTTTAATCAGTTAAGTACAGTATACATTAGTAGATGTAAGATAACGAACATGCGGTTCTCTTTCTTTCCCTCCGCCGAGATTTTCTGTCCGTCTCTCTCTCTGCGATGGCGGCGGTCACGACCTCCTTCTCTCTCTCTCCCCTTCGATCTCTCTCAATTTTCCAGCTTCACAATCTTCCTCGGAACCCTAATTCATCTATTCGAAGAACAATCGTCTTTAAATCTTCGCCTCGGGATGATTCTCCCTCCGTCACCGCTTCTTCTAAAGATTCCTCTCGGCCGCCGGAAAAACAGCAGAGTCCTCTGAATTTACAGAATCTATTGGAATCTCCTGAACCGGAACCTGATCCCAAACCGGATCCTGGGTTAGGCTTCTGTTTTCATTTTTTTGTTCTGCTTCCTATTGAAGTTAAAAATATCTGATTTATTGGAATTTAGGATTGGTAAAATTGGAATGGAGATTATGTCGATTGCATTACCGGCGGCATTAGCTTTGGCCGCCGATCCTATAACATCGCTTGTTGACACGGCGTTTGTCGGCCATATTGGTAAAATTTTGTTTACATGCTCTTGATTGGTTTTCAATTTTCACATTTTTTTCCAAATTTTTACATGTAACGTCACTATTTTGTATCATATCTATGTGATGGTGACAGGTTCAGCAGAATTAGCTGCAGTAGGAGTCTCGGTTTCTGTATTCAATTTGGTGTCGAAGCTCTTTAATGTTCCTTTGCTTAATGTCACAACATCGTTTGTTGCGGAGGAGCAAGCAATTGCCGCTAAGGATGATAATGATTTTACGGAAACAAGTAGGTTTTTTTTTTTTACTTAACAAGCTTTAATGCAGAATTTTTTTCTTTACTTATTCGAAGTTTGATATGGTTTGTTTCTTACTTTGAAATCTTTTGTTTTGTTTGGTGTTAAGGAAAGAAAGTGTTGCCTTCTGTTTCAACCTCCTTAGCTCTTGCAGCTGGTGTTGGTATTGCAGAGGCCATTGCGCTCTCTCTTGGATCTGATTTCTTGATGGACATAATGGCTATACCTTTTGTATGTCTAAGCTTCTCTCAGATCACAGTACAAACCATTTATCTTTGGAGTTTCGTAAGTGGTTGGTAAATTTTCAGGACTCACCGATGCGAATACCAGCAGAGCAGTTCCTCAGACTTAGGGCCTATGGTGCACCGCCCATCGTAGTTGCATTGGCTGCGCAAGGAGCTTTTCGAGGTTTCAAGGACACAACCACGCCTCTATATGCCGTGGGCAAGTATTGCACAATATAATCTTCTTCTTATTTTTCTCGTATTTATGCATGACTGAATCTGCGGAGATAGAATTATGATCAACATCTACATGACCACCAGTTATTGTATAGACATATGAGTAACATAGACATGACCTCCAATGTTGTAGTTTGAATCATATTTACAACCGTATATTCACATTAGCACATGCATGTTATGGAGATATATGTTTGTGATATGTAAACTTTGGATCAACAGTTGCGGGGAACGTGGTCAATGCGATATTGGATCCAATTCTGATATTTGTTCTTGGTTTTGGTATCTCTGGTGCTGCGGCTGCTACTGTGACATCTGAGTACGTCCAAAAATGTGGTAAAATTTTGATACTTTATTAGACTCGGTTCTCTGTAAGTGTGCGTTTGTCTTAATTAGTGGCTTCTTATATTTTTTTCTCACTTGTCAATATTTCTTCAGATACTTGATTGCGTTTATACTTCTGTGGAAGCTAAATGACAACGTGGTTTTGCTTTCTCCTCAATTCAAAGTGGGAAGAGCCAACCAGTACCTCAAATCAGGTATCTCCATAAATTGTTCGAGTTTCTTTACATTACTCAAGCGCAAAATGCTACTACTACATATATGAAACATGTTGATTCATGCTTAGGTGGGCTTCTGATTGGTAGAACGGTTGCACTGCTTGTGCCATTCACGTTGGCTACTTCATTAGCAGCTCAGAAAGGGCCGACTCAAATGGCTGGCCATCAAATCTGCTTGGAAATTTGGTTGGCCGTCTCTTTGCTCACCGATGCTTTAGCCATTGCTGCACAGGTCTATAGTCCTTTGAAAAGGATCATTTCGAGCTAATATAATAAGATACAAGAATAAAGTTTTGTGGAAAAGTATTCACTTAAATTCTCTCTCCCTGGCCTATATTCAGAGTCTGCTTGCGACCAGTTTCTCTCAAGGAGAATACAAACAGGCCCGAGAAGTTATCTTTGGAGTCCTTCAAGTTCGTATTCCCTAGCGCCCATGTTTCATATATACAAAAGTCGCAATATTTTTATGTGTTTGATGGTATTCTGAGCAGATAGGTTTAGCAACTGGAGCTGGGTTTGCTGCTATTTTGTTCATCGGATTTGAACCATTTTCGAGCTTATTTACAACGGATTCAGAAGTTCTAAAGATTGCTTTGTCAGGGACCTTAGTAAGATTTTATCTTAATACTCTCCTATAAGTTTGAAAGGGTAGTCTCAGACTACTTTGAATGTTCCTAAATATTATGGTCTGCATGCAGTTTGTGGCTGGATCTCAACCGGTGAATGCTCTAGCGTTTGTTTTTGATGGGCTCTATTACGGAGTCTCTGACTTTGGATTTGCCGCTTACTCTATGGTCTCCCTTTCTTTCTTCCATGAGTTTGGTGGTTTGATTCTCCCTTTTCATCCCAATAATTGTTGATAAATTCTCGTTTTGGAACAGGTTATTGTCGGATTCATATCTTCCTTGTTTATGCTTGTGGCTGCACCAACGTTTGGCCTTGCCGGGATCTGGACAGGTTTGTTCCTCTTCATGGCGTTGCGGTTGGTTGCCGGAACCTGGAGGTAAAAAAATTATTAAAAAAGACCATGTTCTAGTTTCAGTCCTGTTTGAAGTTTGAACAACATTTTTTCAATTGGCGTTATGTTTCAGATTGGGAACAAGAACTGGTCCATGGAAAATGCTATGGCCAGCTCCAGAGAAGCCAGAATGAAACGGATCAATCCTGTATCTGCGTCAATATCTTTCTTGTGGTATGATAAGTAGCTCTTAAGATAATGAAAATGGAAGTGAACTAACAATGTAAAAACAGAGTCTTTTAGTATAATCGATGCAGCATTAGAACCCTAGCTAGAACCTAGAATACTCTAAATACGAATCGAATCCAGCTCCCTGGTAATAACTGGATTCATTGTACAACAATCCATTATCCAACTCGAACTGATCAAAGCTGTAATCTCCTTCTGATTTAACTGCTGAATTCTCATACACAAGAGGATCAAGATTCTCAGTCTTGTCTTGGCCAAACTCAATACCATTGTCGTTCTTCTGGTCTTTCATTCCAATCATGGCATTACCGTAATAGCTTGTAGAACTTTCTGTCTCATCGTTCTTCTTCATATCTTCTCTACCTGGTCCGTTTCCAAGATCTTCAGGGAAGTTTAGCCGTGCGTAGCGTCCATACATGGCACTAGCAGCTCTGTCGTAAGCCAAGGCGGCTTCGGCTGCAGTATCGAACGTTCCTAGCCAAAGACGCTTGCTACGGCTCGAGTTTACGTCACGGTGGCTCACTGGTTCACGTATCTCAGCGACCCATTTACCCCAAACCCTTTGTCGAACGCCTCTAAACCGGCAAACCGGATTCTCTGGTCCGCCTTTGCCTCTCATACAACCTTTCCTCGAACCTTTTGCTTGAACCCTACGAACCTTCTCCAACCCTTCTTCATCTTCATCCTTCACCCATCTCTTTAACGTCGCTTCCACTGGCTCAACCGCTCTTCTTCGTCTTCTCGATGAAGAGCTCTGTTTTGAACCGTTATCTTCCTTTTCCATCGTTTAACGCACAGAAACAGGGAAAACGAGAGAGACCTGTAAATCTCGAATATAAAACCAAAAGAATTAAAGTAGAAGAAACTTCGATCTGAATATATTGGTATATTTGCCTTTAGTATTTGACTATTGGGAGACGTCAGAGAGATTAAGGTGGGAACACTGTTCTAGATATCGTCTGGGAACACGCGTGGCGCTGATGCCAATGTACAGACTACAGGACACGTGAGAATTTTTTTCTTTTATCAGGTTATAGATTACTACTAGTATTAAGTTTCTTTGCGGCTAAGACTTTGAATTTTTCGTGGTATTCTTAACAAAAAATAATATTATATGATACATAGTAAATTTTGGGTAACAATCCACTCTAACTTTATCTCTTCTTTATTAGGGTTTTTGGCTTGCGGTGCAAGCTACCCATCTGACATCTTCCACTTATTATTCCTTCTGACAAACGTGTTTCCTCTTTTCTTTGTTTCAAATTGATGTTAGTGGTCAAGTGATTTCAGCGGTTTACAAAGAAACAGCGCTAAAAATAGCGGCTCAAAAGTGCTTCAGATTATGGTAACATTCAGTTTAATAAGCAACTAAATTAAATAAGAAACCGGTAAATTATCGTAAGAGAAAATTAACTTAGTGCATCAAAATGTTCTTTGTGGCGCCGTTAAAAGAATATGTATTAGAAGTTCCATGGTTATTGAAAGAAAAAAGAAAAATTTCAAGTCACCCGACTCTTCTTCCCCGCCCCAACATGCGCGCCTTACAAACAAACTAGTTTCTTTGCCTTCACAAGGAATAATTTGTAAGTCAACAATTAGCATTAACAAATCCTAGTTTACGGGAGATTCTTGTTTGCGACGTCAATACCCTTTCGGTTTTATTATTCTATTGTTTATAGATTTCTTTGCGACTAAGAATTTGAAATTTGGTAATTTACTAATTTTCGTTTGGTGGGAAATGTCAAATTGGTAGCTTGTACCGTAAGACAAAAACCCCTTAAAAAGAAAGATTTTCAATTAAGGTGGATTGTTACCCATATAGTATTTAGATCTTCGGTGAAAATTCACTTTGTTAAGAGAGTTTCTTTTAAAATGCCTGTGGTATAAGCCACAAATTCGACATTTTCCACTTACTCCTTTCTGATAAGACTTTTTCTTCCAAAACCTCTATGAATTATACATGGTAACAAAATTTGTAGTGATAAAATTTGTGTTTTCGGTGAAGTGATGAATAAAAATAGCCTTTAGCGGTTTATAAGAAGGCGATAAGGTTAAACGTATAGCAATATCATTTACTCTCGATTGGTAACATTTTATCGGTTTATAGTAATATAAATGAGAGAAAAATGTAGGAAAAACTCGTTGACCAAAAAAAAAATGTAGGAAAAACTAAACTGCAAAAATCGAAATAAGCTAGATTCAACGATACGTTGTAAATAATTTTTTTGTCAATGCCTGCTTACTGGGATCATAGACCTCAAGATTTGCCAGAACTCGTTAGTGCAAGTCCAATTTTCTTCCGAAATGGACGGACAATGTAGACATTGTTCTGATCGTCAAAAAAGCAATTTGCAGGCAGAAAAGTTTGAAATTTCCTTCTTTTAATTATATGCTGTGATCACACTTCTTACAAAATTATTAAGCTTCTTTACTTGTATCAGTCAACGAAACAGCTCAAAGAACCTTGTTTTTATAAACTCTTGTATGATACCATCTTTTGAAAACCCGTGAAATTTGAATGGAACTTGCATATACCAAATTGGACTCTTTCGATTGTACATATGCCACCGTAATCAGAACAAATCGAAAGATGGCTACAAGATCCAATAAACACATGTGGAACAAGAAGAAAAAAAAGCTCAAATCTTGAGTTTGAAGAAGAAGCTAAAGATGAACAAAAACCTCTTCAATCAAAATCATATTCAATGTAGCTAACGCCAAATTACGGAACAAAAATTAGACCAGATCCACAACTTTTCAAGTTTATTTCTCAGATTAAAACCCCCTAAGTAAGTATCGATTGAACAAACGAATCATATGGAAAGATTTTTCATAAGCAAAAAAGCAAAACAAAACTATTACCAAGACGGACTGGTAGATCAGAGACGATTAAGAGTTCTACCCGCGAGCGGCAACGACAACAGGCGCGGCAGATGAGGCGGCGCCGCCGAGGAAAGAGAGGAATCCGGTGGCTACATTCTCTTGCTCATCCAAGAACAGATCTTCCGGAGCCCTAAACGCACCGTGTGCACAGATCAACGCGACTCCAACCATCATAGCCGAGACAAGAACAGATCCAACGTCGGTGAGGAAAATCACGAAGATGCTAAACAGGATCAGGCACCCGAGCGTCTCCCGATCGGATAACGTGCGGCCGAGGACGACGATCGGCTGATCGGAGGGACGGAATAGGTAGAGGAAGAGCCAAGAGGCGAGGAGGCAGAGAAGGAAGACGAGAGAGAAAGGATGCGTGACGAGAGAGAACCCGACGATCGCCGTCGCGACGGTGAGGTAATTGACCTTGAAATACGAGTAGTTTTTGCGGATCCGAACCGCGGCGTCGGAAATCGACTCCGGTTTGGATAATGCGGAGCGATCGGCGAGCTCAGCCCAGGGGCGACGCTGCGAGAGGCCGTTTTTGACGGTTTCTGAGATCTGATTGATGAAGGCACGGAACGCCGGAGTTGCAATCGGTGGCTGAGATTCGACGGAGGAAGGAGCGGCGGATGGGACGGTTTGCGAATTGGAGATCGGGAGGATCGGAGGAGCCGTGGAAGCCATTGTTGCAGATCTGGGAGAAAAAATTGGGTGAAGAGATTTAAAGAATCGAAAGATTAAGAGAGGATTTAGCGTGAGGATTAAATAAAGAGAGGGAAGGAGAGAGAGATTGATTATATACGCAAAGAGAAAATTTGTTGACCTTCCTCTTTCCTTCCTAGCTACGGGTCACCGACAATAACCGTGATTGGTATTTTCTTCGATTTTCCTTCCTTTTTCTCGTTTTCTTTTTCACTTATATAAATTTACTACTTTTTTAGTATATATAGGCTACAAAATCTCGTGTTTTATACGGAAAAAAATTTAAAAGTAAAAAGCATAATATTACCATTTTTTTAATTTATTTTAGCAATCATAATTACAATTTCTCGTTTGTTTTCCACTTTTATAAATTTACTACTTTTTGATTATATATAGGCTAAAAATCTCGTGTTTTTATACGGATAAAATTTAGAGGAAAGGTAAAAAAACATAATAATTTTTTTTTTTTTTAGCAATCATTTTTAGCATAATTATTTATCTTTTTTTTGGTTCTTTGTATTCTCCGAGGGCCTTTCAGTTTTCTGGTTATTACTACTTTCAGTTATCTTTCAGGTAAATCTTTGAACAATCTTCATTTTTATTACTTTAGTTGATGATATATATTGAATGTGTCTATCTTATTATATAAAACATTAGGCGACAATCTACTTTCACTTTGACTCTCAAATCTGAATTCATTTCCTTCATAGAGGAACAAGAGCTAGTAACTAAACCATACACAGTGTTCAGTGTATCTTACACTCTCAGGATATAAAAGAGACTTATAATAGAATGTTTGTAACTGAAATTTCCCACACTTCATCTTTTCTATCTCGTTTCTCTGCCAAAGCTAATAAATCTAATATCGTATTGGGATTAGATAGTTGAGATTCACATTATAATAGAACGGTTGATTCACATCTAATATTAAGAAAGACCCAGTTGGTTAACGTAACAAAACACAAGCAAGTCTCATTAGGTCACCTCAAGTTCAAAGCTATCTGTTTCTTCTTCTTCTTATTCTTGCTCTCTTTGTTTAACAACACAGAGATCTTAGCAAATCCGAAATTCTTTCTCTTTCGAGTCGCTGATCTTTTCCCATTCTCCTTCCCTTCACTCTTCTTGCTCACAGCTCTGTTACCATCGCTATTCTTTGCCAGCATCTGACCCAACGACATTTTCCTTTTCTCGCTACCAACATTAAACTCTGAATCCTCTCCAATAAGTAGCTTCTTGCTGAGTATTTGCCCGATTGACATTGTTGGCTTCAAGACAGGGACTGAAGACGATGACCCCGCAACAACATCATATGTCAGATGCAGACCGTTTACATCCATCAGACGCGTTGTTGTTGTTGTTGTCTCTCTTCTGTTCTTGAACTTGGCAGTGTTGTTCACCAAAGAAGATGATCTTCTCCTCTGTCCGTTCTCTGAACGGCAGTTCCGCAACGCCTCTTCTGCTTTGAGTTTTGTAGCATTTGCAGCGTCGACTCTCTCCACTGCTTCCTCCAATGCCTTCTTGCTGGTTTCGATTTCTTGGGACGCTTCGTCCACTTTCTTCAGAACATCCATCTTTGAAACATTAGCTTCCTCAACTCTCGACATTGCATCTTCCACTCGCTTTCTCGCCACTTCCTCTGCGTCTCTAGCGTTACGAGCCAGCACAGCATACTCTTCAGCAGAGATAGTCACAGTCACGGCCTCATCGGCGTCTTTGCTTGCGGTAACAGCCTTAATCTCAGCGATTGCAACCGCCTCAGCCGCTCTGGCCGCTTCCTTCATTTTTCTAGCTGCCACCAACCTTATCTTGGCCGTTTTGATCTTTTCCCTTGTGTGTTCAATCTCAGCCATTGCTTTCACAACTTCTGTCCGTGCACATTCTCCTGTTTTCTTCAACTCTTGAGCTTCGCGGCTGAGTATTTGAACCTCATTCATCATACCTGATGCATTATTCTCTAGATCTTTCTTTTCACCCTTGTTGGCAAATCTTAGCGTCATTTCTTCTTCTTCTAGAGAAATCACTTTCAGAGATTTCTGCATAAGTCTCTCGCGGGTCTTCTCAAGTGCAGCCCTTTCTTCCTGCAGTTTCTTGTTCAACTGCTCAACCGACCCGCGTATACCCGCAAGATCCACCGTCGTCTTGCACAAATTCATCTTGGCCTGACTTAAATCCTTCAGTACCACACCTGCTGTCTTGATATGACCGTGAGCTTCTTCTCTCAACATCTCCTCCTCGTTCTTTTCCTGCAGCTTTGAGTTGAGCTTTTCAACTGTGGATTTAGTCGCCTCAAGCTCCTTGAGCACCTCGAGAGTTTCACGTTCTTTCACAATTAGATCGTTCTGTAGCTCAGCAGCCTGTGCCTTGAGTTCCATGATTTCTTCGACATTTTCCTGCCACCAAAAATCAGAAAGCCTTGCCTTACATATCCTAATTGTAACAGAATATACAGAATACAAAATACAAAATCTACAGCAATGTGATGGGTTTGAGCGGCTTCGCTTTGAAAACTTGATTTAAAGAAGCAGGCTTTAAACAATTCCTAATAATGGGGTGAAGTTTTCTTCATCATTATTGCCAAACATGAAAGGGATATCAAGTATCATCATCAACATCATCATAATCATGTCGTTTAAGGCATGAACCAGACATCATCAAACATCAATTTCGAGTTTTTCAGCAAGAGAGAAACATATAATCTGTCGGATATCATTTTGTCGTGTTTCAGACAACAGCATTGCCAAAAAACGCTTAATCAATTAACAACAGAAAGTCATAATTTTTGTTTTAAAGACAAATCCTAAAGAAAAGACAACTGCGAAAAAGAATTGAGGGAGAAACCTGAAAGGCTTCTGGGACTTTAGTAATGTGAGGTGGTCTCCAGAAACCAAAACCGCCGAACCGAGTGGCAGCCTCTCTCACTGACTCGAAAGGCGCTGAAGTGTCGATCTCCGCTCGGCCATTGGCAGAAGACGACAGATCCGAGTCAGGGTTCAAGGTCCCCGGCTCGATTACAGTGGGCGATTCTGGGGATTTGGCCATAGAAGCTACGGAGGAAAGAGAAGCGGAAGATGACAAGAGCGAAGAAGGCGAGAGAGTGAAGTGGAAGAGAGGAAGAGAGGAAGAGAGGAAGAGAGAGAGAGACGGGTTTAGTTTTGAGTGGAACCCAAAAAAACTAAACTCTTGTTTTGAGATAAAGACGTGTCGTAACGGCACGCTACACCACGCCACGGTCGTCTGTATTTGTTGTGTAATGTGTTTTTTTGAGTGTGACAGGAAAAAAAAAAACATACAATAGTTGAAAAGTCATATGTATCCGTAGTTTTTTTTTTTTTTTTGCTCTCCGTTTTAAAAGGTCTTGAGGTCTCGTCTCTCTCTTTTTTTGATCCCAGACTAAACTCGGACAATCCGTGAAATAAAATCAAAAGAAGAAAAAAATTAGTCAATTAGTCCATTCTAGTATTGGATAAGATTGATAACTGATGTTACTCATAAACCGAAATTTGCTCAAAGCGTTTATGTGGTTTATTGATATTTTGTTTTTAATTGCACGAGACAGGTACATTTTGTTTGGGTTGCGCTAATTAAAATATGAGAAAAATATTACATATATCTCATGATAGGGATCAGAAGTAATAGAGAGGAACGTATTCGCCTGCCCAAAATTATTTGATCCATTTCAGAAAAATCGCTTCTACATTCTAAACTAATTCGGTAAAGATTTTACTTTTCATTTTTCTCACCTAAAAGATTATGTTTAGTAGTCACCGTTGATGATAATAGTCTATGTAGTGTCGTCAATTATTTGTCCACCTTCTTTGTTTTCTCTTTCTTTTTGTCTAACCATTAATTAAACTAATATATTCATTTTGTTTCTGTCTCTTTTGTCTTCGATTTCATCTTGTTTTCAGGAATGACTAAATGCACTCTAGTCTTTTTTTATATCTCCCTTTACTTGCATTCCTACTTTATGAGATAAATAGTTTTCAATTGATTTTCGGTGATAGATTTATCCTTTGTCCGCTTTGAACTCTCTTGGTTATATATATGAGAAGACAAGACAAGGAGCTAAAGTATTAGATTAGGTTAACCACGTAGGCTAGGCTAGCGTGTGGACTCATATGAAGTTGATATATGTATTAATTAGGTAACTTTGTTATTTCAGATTAAATTGTTTTGGGTAAGATTTGTATTATTTATCGCTGTGTGAAGGTGGCTTCTAACTTCTAAGGCTACATTCGCGTTATTCACGGAAAAGGCAAGGACACAAGCACACTTGATTTCTTCTATTTCGTCGTTAGAAGTTAGGAAAAATAGTTTTAAAATGTTTGCTAAAAATGAAAAGCAATTGTATAGTTAAATTAAGAAGGTTCTACGAGAAAAAATATTTTGTCTTGTATCCAATTATGTAAATCCGTGTAAATATCCAATATTAGCATTAATAACACAAACCACTAGTTTAAATATTCTGGTGGCACATCACTTATAAATTACTTGTAACCAAACTTTCCAATGTTCTACAAATTAAACCTTAGCGTCCTACAAAGAAAATCAGGTCGGAGACTATGGTTATTACGATGTAAATGTTGGCACTCGTCGCGCGATATAGCTTAAAATTGGATAGAATACGATCGCCAATTATCGATGGTATCACAAAACATAATCTTTGTCAGTGATTGTGGATGTAATTTTGTAGGTACTGACTGCACGTACGTCGTAAATAAAATCGTTTTAGTGGCGTTTTTCTTGAAAAAATTAGATATCATCCTTTTTTTTTTAACTTCATCTTAGAAATTTAGAGATCAACAAGAACACGTAACCAGTAAATGTTTATCACATGATGATATTATGATTTCTACAGAGATCTGTATTTTGTTTAACATGCATCACAACCATATATTTAGCGACCCTACAAGAATCCAAAATTAATTTCAATATCATTCAATAAATTTTCATACCATGTACAGTTTAATCTGTGTCGTTTATAAATGATCAAACCCAATAATGCGAATTCGATTCTCAGAAGGAAACATGTATGTCTTGAAATAAATATAGAATTAAGAATAAAAGTGGTATTGATCGAACCACCAATTTATAGAACTATACGTCGATTTGTAGTAAGTAAAAGTCCACAGCTGCAATAAAGAGTATAGAAATGTATGGAGTTGGTTTAAGAAATTATATAGAAATATTGTACAGTTGAAGTAAAAAAATATCAATCTTTCGGTTTATTAATTAATCACAGCGACAGATGCAACCAAACACTAAGAAATTATGTGCAAAAAATTGACACATGATTATTCTTTATCCTTCAACCACTCTAAAGATTTACACATGGCCTTAAAACAATACCTAATACTATAGAAGAAAACACTCAAGCTTCTCTATATAATGCTCCTTCTAAACCTGAGCTAATTCACCATCATCCACACTCATAAATCGAAATCATCGTTTGTCTTCCTCCTGAAAAAGAATAATGGGGTTTTCTTCTTCGTTTTCTTGCAGTGTTATGGGAGCCCTAATATTGGGTTGCCTTCTCCTTCAAGCATCAAACTCTAATGCTCAGTTGAGGCCTGATTTCTACTTCGGAACATGCCCGCGTGTTTTCGATATCATTGGGAATATCATCGTTGATGAATTGGCCTCCGATCCTCGTATTGCCGCTAGCCTCCTTCGCATGCACTTCCATGACTGTTTTGTTAATGTAAGGACTTACTCAACTTATGTTTTTATACATACCAAAAAAATCCATGACGTATTCATGGACAAAACTAGTTTTACATACCATTTACATATATAGAATAGAGTACTATATAAAAGCCAATTTTGAATAAACAAATACAATGGTCATGTAATGTAAATGGTTTAATTTGTAGGGTTGTGACGCATCGATCCTGCTCGACAATTCCACATCGTTCCGGACCGAGAAAGATGCTGCTCCAAACGCAAATTCGGTTAGAGGGTTTGATGTGATAGATAGAATGAAAGCCGAGATCGAGAGAGCTTGCCCAAGAACAGTGTCTTGTGCAGATGTTCTCACCATTGCTTCTCAAATATCAGTGCTTTTGGTATGTACATACCTACATGACTTACATTAATCCAAAAATGGTATATGAATATTGTAAATTTTGACGTTAATGTAATATTTTATATAGTCGGGAGGTCCATGGTGGCCAGTTCCGTTGGGGAGGAGAGACAGCGTACAAGCTTTCTTTGATCTGGCTAATACGAATCTTCCCTCTCCATTCTCCACTCTTGCTCAACTCAAAGCAAGTTTTGCTGCCGTTGGCCTTAACCGCGCCTCGGATCTAGTTGCTCTTTCTGGTAAATTTCCTCTTTTTTTTATCGTCTAAGATATACATTTTTGGTCTAGATATATACAATTCATTTTATATATTGATAGTTAGCTACATGCACTTCTCAGCTAAGTAAAAGATTTGGTTCATGAATTTTAAAACTAATTTGTAAATTTATAAATTTTAGGATATGTTTGAACGAAATTTGAATAATTTTGATTGGATATTTCTTCTCTCCTAACATGGGTTTTAACGTTGTAATAATATTATAAACGTTACGTTGGTCGAGCTAATTTGTGCTATTAGATCTATAATAGTATATATTGAAATATTTTCAAGGTTCATATCTTATATCATAAGATATTAATTAGTACATGGGTTTAATTAGGCATATGAACATAAAGTAAAATGTATCTAAACCCTTTTTTATTTGTCAAAAAATGGTTAGGTGGTCACACGTTTGGAAGAGCACAATGTCAATTTGTGACACCTCGTCTCTACAACTTCAACAACACCAACAGACCAGACCCGAGTCTTAACCCAACTTACCTCGCCCAACTCCGTGCATTGTGCCCTCAAAACGGAAACGGCACCGTTCTGGTCAACTTCGACCCCGTGACTCCTGATTTTTTCGATAGGCAGTACTACACCAATCTACTTAATGGGAGAGGTCTGATTCAGAGTGATCAAGTACTGTCCTCGACTCCAGGAGCAGACACGATTCCACTTGTGCAACAATACAGCAGCAACACGTTTGTCTTCTTCCGAGCATTCGTTGATGCAATGATCAGGATGGGAAATCTTGCCCCTTCGTCTGGAAATACCGAGATAAGACTAAATTGTAGGGTTGTGAATTCGAGAAGAATTAGGAGTGTGGACAATGAGGATGATGGTGTTGTGAGTTCCATTTGATTATGTCGAGGATATCATATGGATATATCATATATGTAAGAAAGTATAAAATGCGTGTGGAACAGTATATGTATCTCGACTAAATAAATGTTCTCACGAGTTATGATATATCTATAAAATCTGGTCTCAATGAGCCCTTTTAATTTTTTTATTTGACTCGGTCATCTGAATACTGAAATCTTGATAAATTTCGTGATGCGATGACTCGTGGTGTTTAGATGTATAACACATGAAATTCTGACGTGTTGAAATGAAATATTATTTCACACAATGTTACAATTTATAACATATAGTCAAACAAAAATGTATCGTGTGATTAGTTATCAATTCAATGAAAGCAGTACCACCATCCAATTTTGCACCTTTTTCATATTTCGGCATTTCTTACCATTCTTTGTTACTCTTAAAAATCTTTGAATTTTACGTTATCAAAGTTATTTAAACCTCTGATTTGTGTTGTTGCTTCTTTTAGGATGCTTTTTTATTAAAAAAAAAAATGAAATGAGATCACATGCACAGTTGGAGCCTGGTAGACCAATGAATCAAACATCCCCAAGAGAGACGAATGTTAAAGGAAGAGAATTATCTTGCACTAGGCTATTTAAATTTATGTAAAAAATATAATTTGGACATGAATTCATCTTCATAAGTATATCTTCAGAGCTTTGTCGAAGTTAACGGGTTGGTAAAAAAAGATTAAATAAAGTTTGTTGGACCTTGTCATGAAACTACAATCCTAAATTCCTAAGACAAGTCTCAAACATAAGTTACATAACCAAACTATAACAAAGGAAGAAAACAATAAAATAAGAGTTTTACTCTTGTAAACAAACAAAAGCCCAACCGAGAAAAGCTGCACAAAAGACCCAATTTAAAAGAGTTGTAACCAGATTTAGCTGCTACAGCATGAGTTACCTCTTTTTTTCATGAAACTAGTCAACTAGATTTTTTAGATATTTTCACACATATCGAAAAATACATTCAACATGTCAATCTATCTTCACAAAATTATGCAGTCACAAACTAAACATTACAAAATATGAAAATATGGTCTATTATAATGCATAAAACTAGTCCATTCGAGTTTAAACTTAATACAAAACAAATCGTTGACAAAAAATGTCTATAATCTTAATGATTTTTAATTGTTTCCGTCCTGTAAAATCAGTCCTTATCAAACGGACAAATATTACGATAAAAGTATTAAAATCCAAAAAAAGAAGAAAGATAAAGAGATAAGACGGACACGATCCATAATAAAGATACTCATTCTCATTGTACTATAAGTTTGTTAGTTCACGCCTTCACGGCAAGCAGAAAACAATTAAAATGTAGACCCACGCCGGATTGTATATAATTAGACGCATTGTTTATTGTGAAAATTAAATAAACTTAGAGGCATTGATTACAATATTAAGCAACACAAAATCCAACTCCACTAATTGGTTTCATTGGGACAAACAAAACCAGCAGTTCCACTAGCATGCGGAGAGCACGTGCCCCTCCATACGTTGTTTTTATATAAATATTATGCAACGATTTTGGGACTTGTAGCAACGCGTTAGAAAAAAGGTAAGACAATTATTTGTCCTATCTTTGGGATAGATGAGATCATTAATATTTTTGTAGTTATCATGAAAAACAAATTACTAGTTGTAGACCGTAGGTAATCAATCTCATGATCGACAATGACACACATTCCATTTACCAAACGCATTACTTTTTTAGGGTACTATACCAAATACACTCGAACAATGATATATCATTTTCAGACAGAAAAAAATGACTTAACATTTACTTAATTATTCACAACTTGATATAAATTATTTTACGAAACAACTTATGTATTAAACGCTAACTTATACACTAAATATTTTTCTATCGTGAGGAAAATGAGTTGGGACATGGGTTTGCTATTTTGGTCGTTTAATTTTAAGTAAGATATGTAAAATTTCTAACAAAAAAGTGCATTAAAACTTTAGCCTTTCTAAAAGCTAAAAGCGGTTTGAGGAAGACCGAGACGACATGTAAGCTAAGGTTATAAAAATCGTTACATGTGGTAAAATAACTGACAGCTAGTATTTGTTTTTGTTTCGTTGGATAAAACTATTTATTTGTTATGTAAATTTTATTTGATACAAGATAGAAGGGAAGTGTATGCAGTCAAAACTGATTGTTGCGTAAATATAGAAAAACACTCTGTACAAGAGTTTTTTTTTTTTTTCCCTCCATGTTTACTAACTCTGGACTCGAATGTGTTTTATGCCACTCAACATTCATTGCATACAATGGATAGTGATAATGTCATTTGCAGAATATTTGTTTTCTGTTGTCAACTTGCGGAAATTAATCTATGAACGATAAGGACAAAATCTTTAAAAAAATGGAAATTAAAATAAGGGATTGAATTTTCCAAAAAAAATTCTTAAAAACACTATTTTGCTGAGATTTTTTACCATTAAATTTTAGGATTTCCAATTTTAAATTTAATTTTCTAGTAACAAATTAGAGTCAAAACTTCGATTTAAGATCATTTTGTAAATTCCTAAACTCTTTATTTTGTTCAGACACAATTTTATTAAACTCAATCATGGGAGTTGAGAGAATCTCGTAATTAAACATACGTGTAAGGGCCATCCTGTAAAAACCAAGTTCCGTAAGGAATATAAACCGGCGACACGTCAGCGATGGAATCAACAACAAACTCTCAATCTCTCTCTCTCTCTATATAACGTCATCTCTCCCATGAATCATTGTAACCATCGAAACAGTGTCGTAGTCTCTGCATTTTTTTCCTTAGAGGAAAGAGAGAAAAAGTAGAGAGACCATGCAGAGATTCACGGCCAAAAGATCAGTGCGTAACATTTCCGGTTCCCTTTGGCGACGATGCATCTCATCGACGTCTCAGGCGACGGCGGCAGCTCCCGCCAAGGATTCCGACGAATTTCTGGCGAGGCTTCCGCCGTTCGATTACACTCCTCCGCCGTATACAGGCCCCTCCTCCGATGTCATCCTTAACAAGAGGAAGGAGTTTCTTAGCCCTTCCATGCCCTGCCTCTATCGAAAGCCGGTAAATTTCCGATTTGAGATCATAACGCGTTTTCGATTGATTTTGATTCGTATGTTAAATCTTCGTTTATGATCCGGTGTTGTTGATTTCCGTGTGGGATCATCGGAAAATGATGACGAAATTTTTGTCAAGTTCGGATTTTTTTGTTTCTCTCATCGAAAACAGCTAAATTTTTGTATAATTTAAAATCATTGCTCAGACTGCGATGTTCGTCAAATCTCTTCGACGTAGTCAAGATTTGCCCAGATCGGAATATTCTGTGACCAGTGATGGAATCTATTAAATATATCGTAAATTAATATTGAATCTCTTTTTTGTTTTATCTGATGATAGTCAATGATCTTCAAATGATTTGTTTTTAATAGTCAATACCATGTGAAGGCTTTGAAATTGAATAGCCGGTATATAAAGTTAAAAAATTGAATGGTCCTCTTTCCAGATTCTTGAAGGTTTTTTTTTCTTCTCTCGATTAAATATTGCATTTTTGTTGTTGGGAGGGTTGCAGTTGAACATTGTGGATGGGAAGATGCAGTATCTGTTCGACGAGAGTGGTCGGAGATACTTAGATGCTTTTGCCGGAATCGCAGTTGTGAACTGTGGACATTGCCACCCAGGTGTGGTTGAGCCAGTCATCAACCAAATCAAGCGACTCCAGCATCCTACCGTTCTTTACCTTAATCATGCCATTGCTGATTTCTCCGAGGCCCTCGCTTCTAAACTCCCTGGTGACCTCAAGGTATTACAGAACACACAAGAAACCATGCATGTTTGGTTTTTTTAGTGTGTTTTTTTGTGTTTCTGTTTCAAAATCTGATTACTTTATGGGACTTGTTGGGTTTTTTGTGGGAATAGGTGGTGTTCTTCACAAACTCAGGGACGGAGGCTAATGAATTGGCACTCATGATGGCTAAACTATACACTGGATGTCAAGACATTGTGTCCATTAGAAACGGGTATCACGGGAATGCAGCTGGAACAATGGGGGCTACTGCTCAAAGCATGTGGAAATTCAACGTTGTTCAGGTACTACAGATTTTTCTTTTGAACTAAGAATTAAATCAAAGTAGATTTGAGTGTAGTACTGATATTTTTTGTTGTTGTTGGTTTCTTTGCTGCTGGAAGACTGGTACACACCACGCTTTAAACCCAGATCCTTACAGAGGTGTGTTTGGTTCTGATGGAGAGAAGTATGCAAGAGATGTGCAAGATCTCATACAATATGGCACCACCGGACACATTGCTGGTTTTATCTGTGAAGCTATACAGGTAATCAACTTTTAACTATTGTCGAAATTCATTTATAGTCTGATCATAATTAAGAGTGACTGCTTCATCATTGACAATATTACTGGAAATGTGAATAGGGAGTTGGAGGGATCGTGGAGCTAGCCCCGGGCTATTTGTCAGCGGCTTACGATATTGTGAAGAAAGCTGGAGGATTGTTCATTGCGGATGAAGTTCAGTCTGGATTTGCTCGCACCGGCAATTTCTGGGGATTTGAGGCCCACAATGTTGTCCCTGACATAGTTACCATGGCAAAGGTTAGTAGAGTTGTTTCCTCTGTATCTAAGCTAACTTTAAAGACATTAAATCTTGAAGAGAGCATCATAATTTATTACTCTTTTATGGTGTGGAAATAAATAGGGAATTGGGAATGGGTTTCCTTTGGGAGCTGTTGTGACAACTCCGGAGATAGCAGGAGTGTTGACTCGACGATGCTACTTCAATACCTTTGGTGGAAATGCTGTGTCTACCACAGCTGGTCTTGCCGTTCTGAATGTTATTGAGAAAGAGAAGCTTCAGGAAAATGCATCGATGGTCGGATCTTATCTCAAAGGAAAACTCAACCAGCTGAAAGAGAAACACGAAAGTAAATCTCTCTCTCACTTCCCCTCTCTACCTCTCTGTGTCTTCATAACTTTGTCCTTGAACTCGATTCAATGTGTTTTATATGCTTCTCCAATGTAGTTATCGGGGATGTACGGGGAAGAGGACTGATGCTTGGAGTAGAGCTGGTGAGTGATCGCAAGCTTAAGACTCCTGCAAGCGCCGAGACTCTGCACATCATGGATCAAATGAAAGGTTGGTTGGTTTTTGCGTTTTTTCTATTCGTCTCAGGTGAAACTCGTATTGAAAAAAGCTAAGTAATTTGCACATTATGAATATTTTGCAGAGTTGGGTGTGTTGGTTGGTAAAGGAGGCTACTTTGGAAACGTCTTTAGAATCACACCACCTCTCTGCTTCACCAAGGACGACGCAGGTTTGTGTCGTTTCATTTCTTTGATAGAAAAGGAATATTTTTGAAAAATAAGCACAAGACTTAAAACAAATAATATTCTCTTGTGACAGATTTTCTCGTGGAAGCGATGGACCACTCAATGTCGAAGATGTGAAGAAAGTGTAATAAACATTATATAAGTTGCGGTAAATTATGCTTGTAATCTTGCTTCGAACAACCAAAATGTTTGATGAGCCAACATCTCGTTGCTTCTCAATCACTATGTTTTCATAATGTTAAAGCCTTTTCTTTCCCTTCTACGCGTCCAAATGATTACATTTTATACGCATCATCAGTTCATCCTCGTAAACAGAGCACATAAAAAAAAAGGGAGCATTGTTAAAAAAAATTAACATTATAAAGACAATTTAGAGGAGTGTCTAAAATACAACCGGACCTCTTGAAACCTATCACAACACCTGAAAAATATCATCATCAAGTATACATTTTTGGTCCATTATCAATAATTGGTCGCACCGCTACGCACCAATTGCATTCAGATTCTAGTCTTCGCAGCCCATTAGAACCGTAGAGAGTTTTTGATAAAAAGACACAAACCAGCTACAATAACAGTAACGGACTAATCTCCTCATTTCACTTTTAAATCCCATGACTTGTTGTTGTTTCCAACTGCTAAAGATCTCTCCCCAAAACAATCAACTACACAAAAGGGTAAGAAAACAGAAGACAAAGTTAAAAACAAAGAAAGAAACAATCTCCTCGTCTCATCAAAGGCTCAAAGCATTATGTCGATACCAAATCCTAAAAATCAAACAAGATTTAAAAACTGGTGAAAAAAAAAAAAAAAAAGAGAAATGTACAATCAGTTGTACACCATTATATTCACAATGGGAAAATAGAAAAGCAACCACTTATGTTAAATCATTTTCCTCCCTCCTATCATACTCTGCTGCGCCTGAGACCCACCAGGCAAGCCTTGAGAAGCATTATTACTGTTCGCAGACTTATTATTATGTTTCCCGTCTGCGCTCCCAAACACATCAAGATCTTCGAACAATCTGTACGATGGAACAAACGGCTGCTGCTTCTGTCCCACAGATACACCTTGATTGCTTGCAGCTGAAGTAGCCTGTGGATCTCCGGCTCTTGCGGGGAATGAGTTGGACTGCTGCAGCGATCTCCCGGCTAAGGCCGATGCCTCTGTGTATGAAGCAGTTGCATTAGCTCGAGGGGTATAGTATGCATTCGCTGATGTTGAAGCCCATGGCGGAGGAGGATACTCATACGGGCTCTGAGGTCTAGTTTGCGGTTGCGAATAGCCCTGTTGTGGTTGAGGCTGTTGCGACTGAGGTTGAGAATAGCCCTGCTGTGTTTGAGGCTGTTGCGGTTGCGAATAGCCCTGTTGTGGTTGAGGCTGTTGCGACTGAGCTTGAGAATAGCCCTGCTGTGTTTGAGGTTGAGAGTAGCCCTGCTCTGTATGAGGCTGTTGCGGTTGCTGTTGCTGTGCCCATGGAGCGACATAGCTATCAAACTGTGGCAAAGCCTGTGGATAGGTATGGGTGTTTTGATTTGAGGCAGAGGGAGGAGGAGGAGATGGAGGAGGTTGAGAGGATGTAGGCGGTGGAGTTAACGGTGTAGTCAATGTCAGACTCAATAGGTCAATCATGTCTTGTTCCTTTGTGGTGTTCACCGGAGGAGGCGGGTCAGGCAGAGCAAGAGCAAGAGCATTGCTTGCAGCAGTATGAGACTCTGAACTGGTCGGCTCTGTAGTCACAGATGCTGGTGGTTTGGAATGCCTGAAAACAACACAGCATGATATGTCAAACATTCAGTTAATGATATGCACTGTTTCTGAATCCAGTTGTAAGACATACCTTCGAGCTAACTGCGCAAACTCATCTTCCTCCTCTTCATACTCCTCATCAATTGGGCTTTTCCCCGTAGAAACAGTGGTTGGTATTGGGGAGCTAGACCCAGTTATGGAGCTAGAATCTTTAGCTTCAGAAGATTTGGGGCTTGAATCAGCGGGTTTCAAAGCCTGGACTGCTGGCAGAGGAGAACCAGAAGCTATTGCATCGTGTTTAGCTAGCAGAGTTTGAAGACTGTCATTCAGATCGAGTCCCCGACCCAAAAGTTCATCATCTCTGCCACATAAACAAAAGACAGTTCAGTACAACTATATATGGAACTTCTCAAGTCAACAATATCAATACACATTCAAACATAATTAAAGACAAAGTGATTCCTGAAAATAAAAGACTAACCCAGTAGAGGTTAGCATCTGCATCAGCTTTTTCTGATTTGACCGACAACGCTCGACCAAGTCAACAATGACTTCATCTTTCACAGCCTACATAATAGGAAAACAATGGGTAAGTTGCAATCAAATTTCGTTCCCAGTACCACAATATAACTATATAAGTATAACAAATCCCCAAATACCGTGCGGTCACTGGGATCCACAGCTTGTAGCATGTCGCTTAAGAGATCCATCACGTCCCTCATGGACTCAAGACTTGACAAACTACAATTTCACAAAGAAAAGAGAATATTGAAATTTCACATCATGTTAAAACTGACAGCATATTGATTATTGAGTAACACATCCACTTACCTTAAGCCCTCAACCTCACTTGCCATTGCTTCATCAAGCCTTCTCGACGAACCACTGGGCATTCCATAACCCACTTGAGGCATTCCATAACCAGCTTGCGGTACTCCATAACCAGCCTGCGGCACTCCATAACCAGCCTGCGGCACTCCATAACCAGCCTGCGGTACTCCATAACCAGCTTGCGGTATCCCATAACCAGCTTGCGGCGATCCATAACCCCCCTGAGGCTGTCTTAACGGTGGATGACTCGCTGGTGGTGTTATTATAGGGGACGCATCAGGTGAACGCCGGGGGAACTCAACTCCAGAACGCTGCAACATACAACATCAAACTTAACAATAAGATCTTCATGGAAAAGTGCATCTGTATAAAAGGTAAAGCAAATGGCATATATATAGAGATCTGAAGTAGATAAAAAGATCGGAGTAACATGACTGATGACTCCACAAATCTAAACCCTCAAGTTTCACATTTGGCACAGGCCAAAAACCAGATGTAGCAACAGATACCAGACCTCCAACCAATATACAGTACTTTGAAATTCAGAACAAAAACTGAGTGAAAAGTAAAATTTCACAACCAAGTCTACCAAAGGTGATCGAAAATGTGTTTAGGCATAAAAATTACATTTGAAGCAAGTTACTCACCCTTAACTCATCGTATGCCCAATAATATTGCGGATATTTTCCCTCTGGACCCCCAAAAGCCTGCTGCCAAGAGTCCAGCATGACCAATATTTTATCCCTTACTTGCATATCCGCCTGTAAAGTCCAATGGATCATCAGCAATATGAAGAATCACAAACTAAGGAAACACGAACATAGAAACCTAAACAAGAAGTACCTTCTTTTTCACAATTTTGACCATTTCCCCCAATACGTTTTTCTCTGCAACCTGATGGTGCAAATAATCTCCGCAGTTCTTTACCAACGTCTCCAAAAGCTAGAGCAGAAGAAGTTGTAGAGAGTTAAGTTGTAGAAGAATTGGCAGAAGAAAAAGGTCCAAAATTTTCAATTAAAAACATCATACCGTCAGAGCAAGTTGCTGAACTCTCGGGCTCTTATGTTGCAACCTCTTTTTTACAGCTTTAACGACATCTTTCGCCTGCCTGAGCAAGTCAATAGGCACAAACTCGTTAGCATAGATGCAACATGTAAAGATGTTCAAGAGCTTTTAATCAGATTAATCCTCAACAAGAACCATTAATCAGATTAATCCTCAACAAGAACCAAATTTTCTGATTGTTAGTCTCTGCAAATTACCCCCTTTACAAAAACATCACCCAATCCAAACATAATCTAATTCTAGCAAGAACAATCAACAATTCCAAAGGAAATCGGGTAATTACCAGTGAAGGGAATTGACAGAATCGCAGATTTCCATGTTCGTAGTCCAATCAGGACCTAGAAGAAGATCGCTGGTGGCCTTATCAACGGCCACCGTCGCCGAAGCTGAAGACGACGCCATATCTCTGGCGAGAGAGCTCAATACGATCGGCAAACGAAAACGAATGGTAGCTTTTCCGGGTCGCAGAAAAAATCAACAAAAACCCTAGAAAATCTATCTACCCAGCGCAGAGAGACGGAGTCAGCGAGAATCTTTGCTTTAATCTATGCCTGCTTTTCGCCTTCTTTCTTTCCTTTTCTATCTCAGGAAGAAGAAGAAAAAAGAAAAAAATCCTTTTTTTATTGATGCTGATCGATCCATCATGTTTTTAAGGACGGCAATTTCCCGCTCCACGCTCTTCTTTAGTGCGTGACAGCACGCGATTTCGCAAGTTGGTCAACGTTATAAACTATGATAATCTTAAATTGGATAATTCTTTTTTAAGCTGTTTATTGTGTCATAGAGATGCGATTTTGATATTGGAGTATAATTAATTATAAAGTTGGGTGTTGAAAATCGTCAAAGTAAAGTGTATGTATAATAAAGATTATCGTAAAAGTAAATAATAAAAGTTGTGATACATTTTAGCTAAGAATTGACGACACGTAGTTTTGATTGGTGCTGCTTACATAAAGATGAAAAGGAATTTAATGTTTGTTTTTATTTTAAAACTAATTATTGTATCATCTAAAGTATTTTTTTATATAACTTTCCCCTTTAAAAACAAAAAAATACTCCATGTGTATTCCATCTCCTTATCCAGATTTGTTTCTCATGAATAAGAATAGAATAACTACAGAAAAATAAGTATCCATCAAATTAGTGGATTTCTAATCAAACACATGGGTGTTAATTTGTATTTTGATATTTAAAAGATCAATGTTCATAGATGTTCCAAATTCATTAAAAAGAACAATGTTCACTGATGTATAAAAAAAAGAACAATGTTCACTTTCAAATTTGAGTTTTTTTTTTTTTGTATTTTCTAATTTGAAAAACATCATCATATCGTTGTTTATTTCCAATGTAAAAATCATTTTTTTAGTAAAATGAAGAGTGAACAAATATTTCCAATGTAAAAAATCAAAACTTTTTTAGTAAAATGAAAGAGCAAATATTCCAATGTAAAAAAAAATTTTAAAAAATTAGTAAAATGAATGAGCAACTTAATATAATTAATATCGAAAACACCGAATTATTTTGAAATCCAGAAAATTCCATATGTTTATTTCAAAATTAGAGAGGATTTTTGTGTGTGTGTGATAGTTAAACAGTTTTCTCTGCACTAGAAGCTGTCTCTCTTCAGAGAATTCACACATCGATTGGAAAATGGCAAGATCTTCATCGTGGCACCGAATGTCAAATTTCTTCAGAAAGTATCGAAAAATCCCTCACTCCTCCTTCAAAACGAAATGGAACGAAAATCTCAAGCAGAAATATGCCATGGAAGAGCTAAGAAGCGGCCTTATCGCAGATTCAGGCTCAAACGAAAACGATGGCGTTTTGCGAACACTCATAAGCTCCTTCCGCCTCCATAACTGCGAACCCACGCCTCAAGCTTACAAATTCGTTATCAAAACCCTAGCCAAAACCTCTCAGCTCGAGAACATCGCATCTGTTCTCAATCACATCGAAATCTCCGAGAAATTCGATACACCCGAATCCATCTTCAGGGACGTCATCTTCGCCTATGGATTCTCCGGTAGAATCGAAGAAGCAATCGACGTTTTCTTCAAAATCCCTAATTTCAGGTGCGTGCCTTCTGCTTACACGCTCAATGCTCTGCTCTCAGTTCTTGTGAGAAAGAGACAAGGCCTGAAAATGGTGCCTGAGGTTTTGTTGAAAGCTAGTAAATTGGGTGTGAGGTTAGAGGAATCTACTCTCGGGATATTGATCGATGCTCTTTGTAGAATCGGTGAGGTAGATTGTGCCACAGATTTAGTGAAAGACATGAGTGATGATTGTTACATCGTTGATCCAAGACTATACTCTCTGTTGCTGAGCTCTGTCTGTAAACACAAGGACTCTTCATGTTTCGATGTCATTGGATATTTGGAAGGTCTGAGAAAGACTCGGTTTTCGCCAGATTTGCGTGATTACACAGCCGTAATGAGGTTCTTGGTCGAAGGAGGAAGGGGAAAAGAAGTTGTGAGTGTACTGAACCAGATGAAATGTGATCGAATTGAGCCTGATATCGTTTGTTATACGATCATATTGCAAGGGGTTATTGCAGATGAGGATTACAAGAAAGCAGACAAGTTGTTTGACGAGTTGCTCTTGTTAGGTTTGGTTCCTGATGTTTATACATATAATGTGTATATCAATGGCTTATGCAAGCAGAGCGATATCGAATGCGGGATAAAGATGATGTCTTGTATGGAGAAGCTAGGTTCTGAGCCTAATGTAGTTACATACAATATATTGATTAAGGCATTGGTTAAGGCAGGGGATATGAGCCGAGCTAAGATTATATGGGAAGAGATGGAGACAAATGGGGTTGATAGGAACAGCCACAGTTATGATATTATGGTTAATGCGTCTATTGAAGCAGACGAGGTTGTTTGTGCTCACGGGTTATTGGAGGAAGCATTTAGCAGGAGCTTGGTTGTTAAGAGTTCAAGAACCGAGGAAGTCATTTGCAGGTTATGTGACAAAGGTTTGATGGATAAAGCAGTGGAACTTTTGGTACACCTGGTTTAAGGAGCTTGTGATGACCTTTTTTTATAGCTGTTGAACAACTCCAAATACCAACAATTTTGATGTATTTTGATCTGATCGATGATAGTTAGAAGTTGATAGAAGGGAGGTTAATTTGTCTAGCAAGACTTTGGGAAGTGATCAAACTACGTGTTCAAAGCAGAATAGAAATCTTACAAATGTATAAAATTCGGGTTTTTATTACCTATATTGGAACTACATTTCTTCTGTTTGTTCCCACTACAAGTAGAACAAACCATTAACCATATTCATATGCCTCGGAGAACAACAAACACCTCATGGTTTTTATATTTGTGAAAGACGATTGTCTCTGTCTTCTTTTTTTAGTTGTCTTAGAAGTTGTTTTTATATTTGTGAAAGATTTTCGTCTCTCTCTCTCTTCTTTTTTAGCTTTCGTAGGAGTTTAAAATGGAGTTTACAGTGTCGACTTATTTAGGAAGGAATTTAAAATATGTTAGCCATGTTATGAACCCACTCGTAGGTGCATTTCCCACTTTGAATTTTTCAATCTCACTTTTGATGATTTTAAAATACGTGTATGATCCTGATAGAACCCAAATTACGAACATTTAGTAGATTTGAAGAAACATGAGCCAACAATTTACCGCTTAGGCTCACTACACACTATTAGGAAAGCATTCATATACTTAAATAATAAAAACATTCTTTTGTTTTATATCGTATAATATATTGAAAATAAGTCTAAAGTTGTATCCATTCATTCAATGACATCATGTGTGATTGTATGAATACGACTATTAGTCTGTGTAAAATAATACTATTGATAAATTAGGCTAAAAATCTCTAATTTTGATATTTTTAGGAATGAAATTGTAAACTAAGCTATACAAAATATGTTCTAAAAGATAGCAATTGTCAATTGATTTCAAAATTACAATATGCTTAATCTGAAGTAACCTTTGTTTAGGATATGATCATATGAGGTAGCGAAAGTTGTAAGACATTCACATGACTGAGTCTTACTCTTACAATACATAATAATAGCAATTAATGGTCAGGTCAAAATCCCATTGATCAAATGCTTTTCTTGGTTTTTTTTCGGTGTATATACCTTTTGCCGGATCCGCTCAAGGTCAGCTATACAATCTCCGAATAGAAGATAACCTTGATGCAAAGGAAAATAAATATTAAAAAGCTGATAAATTAAGAGGAATCAAATATGGCCATCTTTCCATACCTACGCCCAATCCAAAACTCAGTCCTGTAGCTCGAGTTATGGGCTAAGTTTTACTATACATATACCAAAGATAAATAAAGTCGCTAAGCAAATAAATATATGTATGCAAGTATGCAACACTTTCAGTGAACACCCTTATACCCTAATAACTTGAACATTCCTATATCTTTGTCTGCTATTAAATATGATTAATATCAATATATAATCTCAGATAAGAAGAAGGTAAATGCAATGTAATCACAATCTTCAACCAACCAAAAATAAGAGAAAAGAAAATGCAACTAAAAAACCTATGTCGCTAGTATACTCAACGATGTACGAACTTTTATTAGCTGTCGTCTAAATTCATTTAATCGTTTCAAAAATTGAATCCCCATAATTTTGAAGGAGAAGTTCTGATGCACTTTACGTCATTGCCTTTATATTTCTTTGGTGAATTCCAAATTAATATCATATAGTATTATGTGGGTGTGATGATTTATACTTATCGCACACCTATCACGGTCTACAATCAGGAAATTATCTGCAAATTAGATAAGTATAACACTAACATATCAATTCATCAACCACGTCTAAAATAGTTTCGGGTCAAAAGTTCTTTTTTTTTCAGGTCAAAACAGCCAATAAATTTTGAAACATAGAAATTAAATAAAAAAGAAAAAACCCTAAAACAGAAAAATTTGGGAAGCTCGGTTCATCTCCCCGGCAGTTTTGGTTTCAAGCCTTGATCAGGAAAATAGGTTTCAATTTTTCCAATCGTACAAAGGGAGATAATAACAGAGAGAAAAATGTCTTCATCCTTTTCACTTTCATTTTCTGAAAAAGAGAGGAAGAAAAAATTAAAAAAACAGAGAGAAATGTCTAGAACTCTTACTTACAAGGCTCTCAATCTATTTATTGATGGGCTACATGGAGAGATTTCAAAGTGGAAAGGTCAATCCTCTAAGGGATTCAAGCTTTGTGACCAGTGGTTTGCACTGGCCTATGAAGGAGCAAACAATGTTGCCAAGGAGACGATGGAAGATGGAAGATGGAAGATGTGCTTCAACAAGAAGACCATTCTTTCATGGTCAAGGATGCCACAAGAAAGAACCTGTTTAAGCTAGAAGAGAACCACCTAAGTAACAGTGGAAGAAGGAGGAGAGAGCCAAGAAGCTTGGGTGTCTTCCTCTATGTAGACACCAAGCTTCATGGTGGTCCTCTCCTTCTTCCACCAAGACTTTCAATTTCTGCTTCTCCAACATGAACTTGTAGATTTTGATGATAACAATTTTTTATTGTAAAACTTTATGTATGATGAAATTTCAATTTATGATGATAAAATTTTGATATGAATCAAATCATCAAAAATTGAAGCTTTGACATATATGAATGTCTTGCCAAGTTTTGAACAAGTTTATTTTCTAAAGAGGAGAAAATAAGAATAAACTTTCTAACTTTTAGGATTCGATAAATCTAATTATTAACAAAAACATAGTCGAAATGGTTTGATTTGTTTTTTTTTCCTTTTTTAGTTTGAAAGTAGATTTGCCATTAACATTGTTATAAGAATTTATTTTGTTCAAAGCTCAAGAAAGTTTTATTGCAACAAAATTGTCATAAAGAAAAACAATGTAATCCAACAAAACATGATTACTTGGGGAATAAGCAACTAGAAAATGTACAAATTAGCCATTTTCGAACAGAGATTTCAGGGGTTTGAGGCGATTTTAAAAAAGTTTCTACATAATTTTTCATAGAAAGAATATAAAAACCTAATAGATAAAACTTTTTACATGAAAATTGGTTAACTTAAAACCTTTATATTTATTGATTTATAAATATAGTTTATACATATTGAAGTTAGTGGTGTTGCGATTATGGAGACTACATTTTTTAAAAACATAGGAATTCGACTTTATTTTCTTGCAAATGTTAAGAGAAATTCTAAACCGGTGTCAATTAGGATATCTGATCTGGCTTGGACTGTTTTTGGGCTCATAATCTTATGGTTTTTTTCTTATTGGTCCATTTTGTGGACTAAATTAGGTTTTTTTTTTTTTCTTGTTTTGTTTTAGTGTCAATTAGGGTATTTTATCCGGTATGGATTTTTACAAGTTTATATTCTTTTTGCTTTCTATATAACTGTAAAACCCAAAAAAAAAAAAATTAATTTTGAAGATCCTAACAGTAATTATGTTTGTTACCAGTACATTTCTCAACAGTCTCAGCGTTAGGGACCGGGACTTGAGTTAGTGATATGAAAATGATATGAAATGCCTTAGTGAAGAACAACACCACCCCATGGGCCATGTACTCTTAATCTTCATTTTCACCTTCATCGTCTATTTCACAGGCCTCCTCTAGATGAGCAATTCGGGTCCTCTACTTCAGCTTCTTCTTTAGTCTTACTGTTGCACTCTTCTTCCTTGAATATTTTAGCATCAACCAAAGTCAGTAAATCCAAAAACAAGCTTTCTACATCCACATCTAGCTGGAACTCAATGGTGAATAATACTAAAAAGATTAGGTATCTCAGGAACTTGCCTTTGATGGACTATCCACCTCGGTAGTATCTAGAGGGTAATACCGAAGACGAATACGTTCCAACAGGTCTTGACAATTGAGCCAGTCCCACTCCTGCTTGACAACCAAATGCAACATCAAGCGGAAATCAGAGGTATAGATTCTTTGAATGGGAAACATGTGACAATGACACAATAAGGTAAGCTGTGAAGGGGTCTTCTAGTTAAACGCAACGGTAAATTCCAAAAAAAAAAAACGATAAATCTGATCAACCTTGAGAGATATTTAAAAAACTTGCCTTTGATCGACCCCATTCAAAGTTAGCAGGGTTACAACGATCCACATTATTTTTATTAGCCCATAAGTCCCACTCCTGCTCGAAAACAACCAAATGCACATCAGGGCAATTTTTCTCTTTGAAAGGGAAAGATGCATGTGGTAAGACTGTAATTAATGAAAAATGTATCGATACAATATTTAGAAGCAAGCAGAGAGAGAGAGAGAGAGAGAGAGAGAGAGAGGCTTGCCTTGAATGTTGCACACTTGCACTCTTGTTCCTTGAATGTTTTAAGAGCATCAACCAAAGTCAGTAAATCCAAAACCAAGCTATCTACGATTCCACATATGGGGAACTCAGTGGTAAATTCCAAAAGATTAGGTATTTCATGAAAAACTTGCCTTTGATGGACTCTCCACCTCGAAGGTCTCTAGACAAATCCCGTCCCACTCCTGCTTGACAACCAAATGCACATCAGGGCAATTTTTCTTTGAAAGGGAAACATGCATGTGGCAAGACTGTAATTAATAAAAAAATTTATCGATACAAGAAAGAAAGAGAGAGAGAGAGAGAGAGAGAGAGAGAGAGAGAGAGAGAGAGAAAGAGAGAGAGAGAGAGAGGATTGGCTTACCTTGAGTGTTGCACATTTGCACAGATCCTTGAATGTTTTTAGAGCATCAACCAAAGTCAGTAAATCCAAAGTCAGTAAAGCTATCTACGTTCACATATAGCTGGAACTCGATGGTGAATAATACTAAAAAGATTAGGTATCTCATGAGAAACTTGCCTTTGCTGGAATCTCCACCTCGGGATAATCTAGAGGTTCATACGGAATATGTCTAACACAATCCATCAGGTCTAGACAATTGAGCCGGTCCCACTCCTGCTTTAAAAGGGAAACATGTATGGCAATGACACAATAATGTAAAGTTGTGAAAGGGGTCTTCTAGTAAATCTAATTACTTGAGAGATATAATGAAGAAACTTGCCTTTGATCGACCCCATTCAAAGTTAGAAGGGAAACGACGATCCACAAGGTTTTTACTTGCCCACAGGTCCCACTCCTGCTTGACAACAACCAAATGCACATCAGTGCAATTTCTTCTTTGAAAGGGAAACATGCATTTGGTAAGACATTAATTATTTAATGAAAAAATGTATCGATACAAATATTTAGAAGCAGAGAGAGAGAGAGGGTTACATGATATCCATGTGTTCCACTCTTGAGATGCGTGGTAAAATCTTCAAAGCTTTTGCAAGCCAACGAGCATACGTCGCAATACCAGGGAGATCCACCAGTTTCAGTGTACTTGTCCTGAAGAACAATCCTTGTTGTATTGTCTTCATTGTCCGCAGACCCTGAATCCATATCATCATCTGTACGTAGAAGAAGAAAAAAAACTAACTAGTTCAGAAACATACAGCGTTTGCTGGTTGGTTACATATATTTCAAACGAGAGAGATCACACACACAGTGTGAGAATGAGAGTGGAAAAAAGCGAACACCTGAAAGTAAGCTTTTCCAGAGCCACTCTTTACGAACATTATTTAGAACGCTTTCCGAGTGCCAGGCTGGATCTCGTTGAAGATATGCCAGAAGAATATTGTATCCGTAGTCATCTACTTTATACAAAAGTGAAGGACATAAATATTCCAGTTCCTCAGGACCACCAAATATGAGCATTAGAGTACGCGGAGATGGACCCTTCCAGCTCAGTTGCAACATCGATGTAGGTACTGGTTCAGTAAAGGAAAGCATCACTTAGCACATAAACCCTAATTACGGAGGAAATCCATTTATACTTGTATTAAATATAAATTATAGAATTAGAGATGGAAATAAGACTAACCTTTGTCATGGTTAAGAGCGATTCCACTGGAAGAAAGCTTGCGCAGGACGTCTTCACCAGGGCCCTTTCCCTCTCTTAGGTCGCCGACGGCAGTGATGGTGACAGGATCAGAGTAGCCTGATTTCTTCAACGCCGATTCTATTCTCCGACCGACCAGACAAGGATCGAAACCAGCTGGAATCGGACAGCTGTCGATGTTCCACCACACAAAAGTTCTCCTCAGCATCGCCATTTTCCTCATCATCTCTCGCTCCTATTTGTTTTTTTATTCTTCGTTCTTCAACGTAAAACAATCAAATCAGATTTTGGGATCGCAGTTAGGCCTTTAATCTCTAAAGTAAATTAAACATCAAATAAAGCATTCGGAGAGATTGACACGGTTAAATCAAAATCACTGACCTCGTTCGTTTAATGTCGAATCTGAAACCCTAGAGAAAGATGGAGCCACGTACGGGAGAGAGAGGAACTAGGGTTTTGATCGAATCCTTTCCTTGTGTTGTGGCACGGGTTTATACGGCGCGCGGACCAACAATAATATAATAAAGTTAGTATCCTTATTTTCATATATAGCGATTCAGAAGATATTTTAATCACATTTCATTGTAAAAAATTGCATTATTACAACGCTAGGAAGCGGATCGTAAATTTGTAATTGTTTCAGAAAAAAAAACGGTTGACTCGCTAAGGAGCGTTCGTCTTCACGTATGAATTATGGCTTAGCTTGGCAGCAGTACGAATGTAGCTCGAGCCATCCTCTCTATCGCACACAATGAGTCTAAATTCTCTTCTTATCTATACAACGAGATTTTTCCTCAAAGTTTCTGATGTTGGACGAAATGCATCTCAACTAAATCACTTATTTTTTTGGATTTTCCATTAACCTAATGACTCATTTCTCATTCACTTTTTCATTCACTTTTTTGACAAATGAATCAAGGGTCCCATTTGGCTTTCTAAAATTGTTCCAGCAATTAATATGATGAAAACACAGATAATAGTTAAGATACCATAGAACGCAGCACCATCTCGTGTCACTGGTGACCAAGTGTTAGCCGGAAATTGTTAGTCTCAACTACTGTAACAACTAAGCTACTACTCACATTGCCGCAAATCTTTTTCTTCAATGATCAAATTCACACCAAACAGTCCCATCATACTTGACCGTGATAATTGGGATACACTAGTTAACAAAAACTTCCTTTTTTGTGTCCCACACAAGTTTAAACCTTCAACCAAAACAAACCAAAACATTGTAGTACTAAAAGAACAGCAGAAAATTTAAAGAGAAACCCAATAGCAACACCAACAAGATATGGTTCTTGTTCTGTAAGATAGGCATCACAATGCAAGAAATCCCATAAGACTCCAAGAGCATCTCGAAGCTTTTCCAAAACAAAACCCCTCTCAATGTTATCCTCCTGCAAACCACAAGTGTAATCACTTAAAGGCCTCACTTCCAATAGAGATTCAAAGATGCAGAAGCACAAAGAATGAACCTGTAACTTAGTGTTGATGTCCTTAAGCATCAACGTCACCTCCCTATTGATTTCCCCTTTTCCAGTCCTCTCATTGAATCTATCAGTCTCTCTCAGCCTAAGCCTTATAGTTTGGTTTTTGTAGACTGTAGCTCTAACGTGACAAGCTTCAAATACTCTGTATCCATCCCCAGATGAAGATTTACCAAGCGGCCACCTTAAACCACCTTTAACATTTGGATCAACAGTCGCTGAATCCAGTAGCTCTTTAATGCTACTTATCTCTTTCTCCTGCTCCTCACAGAAACACCACCCAACCTAAGTCAACGAGAGAACTTTTATCCAGAAAATTTTGATGTCAAAATCAACTCACCGTGAGACCAGTACTGAATTTCCTTTTGGCAGTGAGCACCAACCTCATGTCGAGATTCTTATCAATGCAAGATACATCAACAACGAAATGCCTTACGAGATTATGGTCGAGCTGTGGAAAAGCAAGAGTCAAGGTTCAATGTAAGATGTTAGAAGACAAACCAAATATGGCACGGATTGAGATAATATCAATGATGAGATGGATCATATGTTCTCAGAACATATCTCTATTAAGTTATTGGTTTGTTAGGTTTATGTTTCTTATGTTAGACCCGAAAAGAGGACATAAAGATTGTTAGTTACTCGGGTTCTTATTACATTATACACACAAAGAACTGAGACTTGCCTTGTACATACTGAGCCGTCCATCTTCCTTAATGGTACACTTACACATGATGGTTTCATTGGGACGAGAATCATGCGATACCTGAAAACAGAATCAAGACACAATAAAGCATATTCAAATGACATCCGAACAATAGGTCGAAGAAGGCAATAAAGTACCTTGACACTGTATCTCTCCTTTTCCAGGTCAATACAGAATCCATGGCTTTGTACAACCGTAGACTTGATGTGTTGTAAGTAAGATGTTGGGACATCTGTAGAAAACCTTATTCGAGGGTTTTCTCGAACATTCAGCCACAGGACCAGCTTGTTGCCTGGTTTTATAGATAGTGTTGTATATGTTAGAAAAAGAAGAGATCTTTTGTAAGCAACAAAATGTAACAACAGATGCTGAGTCGCTTACCCATAGAAGAGAATTTTACCAAACCTAGCAACCAATCTCAACACGTGCTGAGATTCCTCAGTTGCATTCTTAGCTTTCTCATATGCCAACACAAGATCCTCCACGACCTTCTCTGCTACTAACAGCCACCGAGTTCTCTCTTCTTTTTCACTCACTGAATAAAAACATATAAAAAAAATCACACTAAAATAGACACAATGCATCTTCAATAGGCAAGAACGATCATAGCAACTAGCAAAATAGTCACTAGTGTTGTTTTGTCAAAACACATAGCCAAAGTCAAGGTACTGCGTTAACAAACACAGAGTGTTTTACCTTTTTGGACATGGTTGTTCAACAGTATTGACGGTTTTACTCCATTTCTGCATTCGACAGAATCGGAGGACACGGGCACAAGCTTCACGTATGGTGGAATCTCATCCTCGACTCCACTTGAACCAATAAGAAACCATTTGCAAACGGAATCTCCAGGGAAATGGAATCTCCGCTTATCACTTCTACTGTTGAAGTGAAGGTTTTTCTTGAATTTTGTAACAAGAGAATCTGGAACAGGGGAAGGTCTGTCCGGATCCTTCGAGTGTCGCTTATGTGGAGGAATATAAGACATGTCTGAAACCTGAAACTCAACCAAACAAAATTATAAAAAAAAAAAGAATTTCAAGAACAGTTTATTCATCGGCTCTATTTCAAGAACAGTGTATAATAAGAAAGAGATGAGAAGGAGAATTTTACCTTCCGTCGATTACTCAAACCTCTTCTGAAATTTCCAAGTTCCTCCTAAATGATCCTTAAAAACGAATAAAAGTGACCTCCAAAGAGTCTCTTCGCTTTCGCTCACTTTTTTTTTATCTTTCAATTGACTCATCGGTTTCTTGAAAACTTTAATAAATATTCCAACCTTTTTCTTTCTTTTTTGAGTATTGTGTATTGTTTTTCGATGGAACTTCAATAAATTCCAACCTTTTTTTTCTTTTTTGAAGTTAAAGATCTCTTCTTCGCTTTTGCATGCAATGAAGATTTGGAATGGAAACGCCGTTGGCAGACTGAACCGGCTTTTCACTATTCCCAAGTTCAATCTTGCACTAATACAAACAGAGATAACAAAAGAATTCTGGTGCATATCATTAGCAGACTAGACTTTTAAAAGCATTTGCAACACAAATCTATTTATCACTCTGAATTCTATTTAATACTCCAATTTCATTCTATTTCAATTAAAAATTGAATACAACAAACTTGGGTATAATAAATCTAAAACACTAAAAACTCTAAAACAATAAAAAAAAGTTTGTCTAACGAATTATATAAGGAATCAAGATATTTGAAATAATTCCAAATATATATCTGCATCACCAGCAACATCATATGATTTTTTATTATGTGAAACTAGCATCATAACACAAAAAAATCTCATATAGATCCAATAACGTTTCCAAAGCATAACACCTCGCAGTGTTCTGTTCATGTAGCTCTTTTTCTTATTTTTCAATTGAGTCATCGGTTACTTCAAAACTTTGTTAAACCTAAAACTTTTGATTCATTAATAAAACATATTCGTATTAGCTAAGACTACTGATATGGTAAAATGAATGTCCACGCATGCAAATGTTGAAATGATGACAATATTATATTTTGAACTTGTGGTTGAAAAAAACAAGACCATCCACAAGCTTTGATGTATGATTTGTTTGTGGTATGCTGAAGCGTCACATAGCGTGAGAGGTGTGAGACGCATGATATCATGTCATGATTTCCAATTTAGCTCTATTGAGAAAAAAACAATAAATATATGTACATGTAATTTCCCAAAACAAAAAAAAAAACAGAGTAAAACTGTTCAAACACGTATAGAAATATTATAAACTTTTAAAAAGTTTGTACAAATACCATTATAGCGAAGACCCTTCCAAAAACGTTTGATCTGGAAACCCCTCTATTAAAAGGCTTGTATCAAAATCTGCAAAATTCTCAATTATATAATTAGTAATGTTTTGGCTACAACTAGTTTGGTCTGTAATACTGCATAAGAAACACAAGACTGTTTTGGCTAAAACTATTGAACTAGTTTGGTTCAGCAACATTCTCAAACTTCGTTATAAAACTTAATGATCGATCTTTGATCTACACGACGATAAGAACCTCTGCATCCGAGTTATTCTCAATTCGCTATGGACTGAAATCAAAACCTATATAGTATATAATAAAATTTAATTATAAAACTCTATTTTCCAAATTTGTTCGTGGAATTCCATTGGTGAATATAAAATAAAACCGAGCAGGCATTGATGAAGATCACAGCTGATTATTAACACAATTTGCTTTTCTTACGAGTTTTTACTCTATTTATTTTTTGGCCAAAATTACTCTATTTATACTATTTATGAAATTTTGGGTTTTAATTCTTAATTTCTCTAAATTTCTCTTCTTACAGTCTCTCTCTCTCTCTCTTCCGTCTCACCATCCGCCGTTCGAATCGAATCCACAGAAAGTCCGTTCCTGAAAGTGATGTCGTCACTTATGTAAAACATCTTTTGTGGGCGGCCACGAATTCAATGGAGAGAGAGGTAGCTCGAGAGTAGCTTAGCTGGTTTTTTCTTCGTTGTAAAGTTCTTCGCTTTGAACAAGCAAAAAGTATTAGAGAGCTGATCAACAATGCCGTTGACGAGGTACCAAGCTCGGAACGAGTACGGTTTAGCAGATCCGGATCTGTATCAAGCCGCCGATAAGGATGACCCCGAAGCTCTGCTCGAAGGAGTCGCCATGGCTGGCCTCGTTGGTATATTGCGTCAACTCGGTGATCTCGCCGAGTAAGTTTTTCTCCAATCTCATTTTCGTTTCATTTCTCCATCGGTGTTGGGAATTTCACTAATTGAGCTGAAATCGGGTTGAATTCGGAGTTTTGAAATCCATTGTTCTCGACCCACGAGATTTAAAGCAAGAAAATTTCGAAATTGTTTGAAAGTTAGTCTAAAAGGTGTGAAATTTCGAATTTTTCGACGAATCTGACGGCTTTGTCTTTGGAAGTGAGTAAAAAAAGGTGTGAAATTTATGATCAGAGTTTGACTTATTTTGTGATGAAGGTTTGCTGCTGAGATGTTCCATGACTTGCACGAAGAAGTAATGGCGACTGCTTCTAGAAGCCACGGTCTTATGGCTCGTGTTCAACAGCTCGAAGCAGAATTCCCTTTCGTAGAGAAGGCATTACTGTGCCAGACCGATCATTCACCATTTTTCTCTAATAAAGGTCGGTCCTTGATCCTTGCTTTTGTGGTATTAGGTTTGATTCTAATCGAAAATCAATACAATCGAGCATTGCTAGGTATTAGGTTTGTCAATGTTCATCTGCATGAAATTATTTTATCAATAGCATCATATCTTGCTGGTGATGTTGTTTCTTTTGCTATGAACATATATGATTAGTTGAAGCGACTGCATAACTCTATTTCAGGTGTGGAATGGCATCCGAATCTACAACTGGAGCAGAGTGTGGTTACACGTGGTGACTTACCCCGCTGTGTAATGGATTCGTATGAGGAATGCCGAGGTCCTCCAAGGCTATTTCTTCTGGACAAGTATGATTTACCTTGTTTTGTAATCTTTATTTCTTTCTCTAGACGTCTGTGAGAACTGATGATATAACATCTTTCCTATGGTTTTGTTTAGATTTGATATTTCGGGAGCTGGGGCATGCTTGAAACGCTACACCGATCCATCATTTGTTAGGCACGAAACATCTTCTTATGAAGAAGCATCATGGGATGATATTCAGAGAGAGAAGAAATCACAAAAGGCAAAGGTATTAGTACTGCCAAAAAAGGGAGCATCTTAGTTCTGGCTGTAGCTTGTGGGTTGCAATGTGATCTTCTTTTGGTTTTATTTTTGTTTCCATTACTTGGTAGATTTGCTGAAAAATTAGAATTTGTTGTTTATGCTCATGTCAAAGCGTACCACTAAACTTAGACAGGTCCTGTGAGGATGCTTATGCTCTTGGGTTTTGAATGTGTAATCTTATCTTCCTCTGTGCAGTACTCATATTTTTTTTTCTTTTTAATCTCTTGCAGAGGAGAGCATCTCATGGGAGGAATGGTGGAACACCTGAAAATGCACTAACATCACATGCCAAGTGAGTATTCTCTATTTTATGTCTGGCACAGTTTTGTTGTTTCTGTTATGAAATATATTTAGTTCCCTAAGTTCCTATATTTGAATTCAACTGCGACTGACGATGGTTGCTTCAAATCATTCAACGGGCACAGATTGCATGAATTATTTTTGGAGGAGCATTTAGAGGCTCATCATCATTCAGATCCAGCGCGAGTTGTGAAGTTGAAAACTAGAAAACTGGATGGATATTCCCTCATTTCAAAATCAGGGGAAAGCTACATGGAGAAATTTGTGCAGACATCTGTGGATAATAAAGCAGGTTATGAAATAATTACCCCAAACCACCCCGAATTGTTGACATGGAATATGGATAGTGCTAGAGACGTAGTAACCAATATACCGGAAATCAGAATGGTGGATGCTCCGGGAAAGTCTCACGGCGGAAGCAGAGCAGAGGTTTCATTACCAAATGAGCAGGAAGATGTGGGTTTTATTGAAAAAGACATAGAGACTGTGCCTGAATCTACTCACAGTGAGTTCCATGGTACAACTATTACAAAGGATTCACAGACTACTATGAATGGAAAGCAAAGGATTTCTTCAATATAGGAGTTATTCTGAAGATTTAACCAGTGAGGCTGAAAATTATGTGGATGCACCAGCTACCATGGAGTCGGAAACAGAAACAGAGGATGAATGTGGTAAACCTAAGCATGGATCAGGTGCTTCGATGGCTGAGAATCATCATACATATACTGATGTGGATGAAGAGAAGATGGAGGACCCACCTGAATTTTCATTTCTACATTCAGTTGGAAACACACCAGTATCAGAAAATGGGCAAAGCTCGTTTGGTAAACGGAGCACTAGTTTTTCTTACTCGGACTCTGCAAGCGCATCCATTGATGATCAATCTGATGGAGAGAAATTTTCTGGACGTCTACCTTCTACTTCTAGTATTAAGAGCGAGCTGGTGGATTCCACGTCTCAACCAACTCCTGAAGCCAACAAAGTTTCTCAGGATTTTATTGTTCAGGAATCAGTTAGTAGCAGCAATGCAGATGGCCAGACATCATTTCGTTCGAATGATACATGTTCAAGTCCAAGGCAAGTTTCTCAGAATGCTCAATCATGTTCACTGACTGTTCAATCGTTAGCACCAGAAGTCATTGAAACTTCTCGACAAGATGGTAAACTTAATCTGATTAAGGGAGGTAGTGATGGAAGCGATGTGGATCCAATTGATTGTTCAAGATCTGGTGCGTCTGTTGATATTAAAAACTCTAACTTCCCTTCTGAAACTTCGTCAATCAGTTCAAATTCTGAAGGAAGTAGATACGATACTTCCATTGAGAAGAACTGTATGGTTGATTATTCTTCAAATTTATTAGACTCAGGCACTAGTTCTCAACTGTTTGTTGATAGTCAAACAGGTAAACAGTTACCTGTCGCTGATAATGATGTTGAGACAAATTCTACAGTTGCTTGTTCTAAAGTTTTAGCAAACTCTGGGAGCGATACTACAAGCTGTGATGGTAGTAGCCTATCAGGAAAACTGTTACCTTGGTCAGCTGAGATGGGGATGGAAGTTTCACATGATATGCCCTCTAACGTTTGTGATCCAGGTTCAGTAGATGAAATTCACTTCGAAGATACTCTTGATGGTGAAACCGATTGCGTTACGGTGACTAATGCAGTTGTTGGCGTTGATTCTCAAAATTCAGTTGCTGACGCTAATGCTCAGAGTTCAGTTGATGGCGTTGACTCTCATAACTCAGTAGCTGATGTTGATTATCAAAGTTCAGTTGCTGAGATCTCCAATGAACATTCTTGTGCCTTTGGCACCACTGCTGATGTATCTGTATCAGAGTCCCATGAAGACACATTGGAGAACGGAATGCCTGCTGAACTTGATGGTAAGCTGACTTCTGATTTAAACTCAGGAGAGAAATCGGTGGGAGATGCTTCACTTGATTGTAGCAAATGCGATGAACAGATCTCTGATATACATACTGAATTTCATTCCAGTGATATGCATGATGAAGGCTTTCATGACCTTCCAGGGTTGGACAAAGCAGGTACACACATTGTCCCGAATGAAGAGCTTGATGTGCCTGGTAATCACGCTAACACTTCCGGTGATGAGGTTATCCATGATGTTAGCCTGTCATCTACTAGTTTGCCTTGGATTTCGACCAATACTTCTCGATCGTCTTCTGAAGCTGGAGATACTTGCCATGATACAGGTGTGGAGTCTAACGGGACTCTACCAGCAGAAAATAATCCAGAGCCAGAGAAAAATTTGGAGAAAAGCCCACTGGAAGTATCTTCAGAAGGTTTGGGTACTGCCCTAGACAATAATGACCTGGCAAACTGTGAATCTATAAGTCACATGACATATCTGGATCAAAGTGACAGAGACCCAGAAACCAGATCTCCTCAGAAGAGCATTCTTGATGATAAATGCATAGATTCTTCACCCGTGAATAATCTAAACCTTTTAGAGAGTGTGACTATGGAGGAGTTAGCGAAAGTTCAAACACCTTGTGCAAGTCATGCATTTGCAGAGGAGGAGTTGAAGCAGTCAGGTGTTTTCAGGGGCTTAGAGTTTGTACCACAATCAGCAAGCTTAGAATCTGTAACACAATCAGCAAGCTTAGAATCTGTACCACAATCAGCAGTCATGGAATTGAACAGCTCTAAGCAAGAAGTGAATCTGGATCCTACTTTTCCTAGCTTTGGTTTGATCCCTGAGACTACTCCACCAATTCAAGAGGACATGCCACCACTGCCGCCCCTTCCTCCTATGCAATGGCGCATTGGGAAGGCTCCACATTCTTTTGTTCCGACCTTCATGGGAGAATCAGGCGAAACCAGTAGTTCTGATCTCTCAGCGGCACCACCCATTGGTTCTAGCTTGAATATTCAAACTGGGTCTAAACCATCAGAGCTGTCTGTATCTCTTGGAAGTGACAAATCAGAACAAGTTTCTGAAGATATTGTGAACAATGCATCAGAAAAGCCGTTGCAGTCATCCATTCAGCTCCCAACCTTTGGCACTGATTTAAATAACCAATTCGACAATTCTGGATCCCAGAGAACTCAGTCTGTGGATCTTCCTGCTAAGCTCCTTACAATGCCTAATCACGGGCGTATAGAGGATTTTGGTTCTGAAGAGAACAATCTTCTGGCTGACCATGCAGCTCAGAACCAAGAGCTGGTTTATTCACAAGAGACGTCACTGCAACTGCCTCAGGATCCATCCACTAAATATGAAGATTTTGAGGACGACACAGATGTGTATGCCTCACAAAGCTCAAAAGGTCATTACAATGGTCCTGAAACCATTGCCTTGACGCCAACTCAATCAACAAAGATAGAAGATAATGGTCATTCTGCTCCTGATGCTTCAAATGCGGATATAGCAGAACCATCAAACTCGTCGGTTGAGAAGATAGTTCCTGCTTCACTGGGAGATGCTATGTGGCCTGTCAGCGCATTCACTGTTGCACCTACCTTGGACACAGATAAGCCAGAAGAGGTCCCTGTGGTTAGGCTTCCTCGGCCAAGAAGTCCGCTTGTTGATGCTGTTGCAGCTCATGACAGACGCACGGTAACAATAACATTTTGTCTGCAATACCATGCTTTTGCAAAAAATCTGTCTCTAATCCCTTGTTCTAATGATTTGCCAGATGAAGAAAGTCTCTGAGAGGATCCAACCACCAATCAAATCAAAGCAAGATGACAAAGATTCATTGCTTGCACAAATACGAAACAAGGTAGCATACATTGTTCTTACCTTACACATGCAATGTCTAAATGTCATTAACATAACTTTAGGTTAGGAGTTTAATGACCTTGTTTTGGTTATGCAGTCCGTCAGTCTAAAGCCTCCAGTAGCGACAAGACCCATCATCCAAACTGGTCCGAAAACGAACTTAAGGGTAGCTGCGATCTTAGAGAAAGCAAACACAATACGCCAGGTCCGTTACTCTCTTTCCATCTTTGAAAATAGTAAAAGTTCTCCAGTCTTTGTGATCATGGCCTCATGTCAAAGCATCTCAAATTTACATGAACTGAAAAATAAAAATTAGTTGGTTTTAGTCTCAAAGTCGTTCCCAAAGTGGAAACATTGACCTATTCTATTCGCACACACATCTAAACCGGTGTGACACACTATTGCAGGCAATGGCTGGAAGCGACGAAGACGAAGATTCAGATAGTTGGAGTGATTCTTGAATCATGATCGGTGGCTACACAGTTAACTTTTCCGTTGTGTTGGTTCTTGTTTCATGATGAGTGCGCAAGCAGCTTTGAGTCAGGTAGGTTATACAATTTCTATTTCAGACATCAAATACGTACTGTCATAGCTTATATATATGTATGTATATTGTATACTACTTTATTTATAGGTGTGTGCATGTTGTAAGTAAATTCCGGAATTTGTATTAGTTTTACGGAAGTTGTGTGGGTTTTTTTTCTCTTTCTCATAGAACATTCTTTTAGTGATGTAATGTGCTGTACTAAATCATATGCGTATGTTTCAAAAATCACACGTGCTTTCTATCGTTTCAAAGTGAGCATCTATCTATCTACAAGATTGAAATGATATGGTCGTTTCCTCAGGACAATCACTTAAGATCATTCCCCTTCACAAAGTTATCTTATCTTGAAAACGCATATTCTTCAAATGTTAGTGGGAACGAGAAAAGCTCTTAAACATTGGGCTTGGTTCTTTCTATTTAAGAGTAGGCAAAAAAAATTGTAATCGAGAATATAAAATCAAACCACAATGCATCCCAAAAATTGTTTATTAACCACTTCAAAATCGATAATCAAACCAAATATTGCCAGGTAATCAAATGGAATCTTAACCGATAATCCAACCAAACTAAACCGAAACATGTGGTTTTTATATCGTTTCTTTCTATTAAACCGATAAAATAGTAACCGAATAACCAAACCGAATCTAAACCGATTGCCCAACTCTATCGTGCTTTTAGCCGATCATCGGCGCGAGAAAAAATCACAACTTTATAACTCGGTGGACAATTCAGACCAAACCAAATAAAGAGATTGAGAAGAAAGTCAAAATCCCGTCTTCGTCATAAATAAATAAATGTATAAAATTGGAAAATCGATTCCCATCAAAACAGGGCTAAGAGGAGCGTCCGCTGCAGCAGTTGGATTCATCAAATCGTCGAAACCGATCCGACCCATCTCCTCAAACACCATGGAGAGTCCCGACAAAGATTTCTCAGCCGCCACCACCAGCGACGGTAGCCGCCGCTGCGTCCCGCTTTCCTCGGTGGTCTCTGATTGTGCGAAGCGGTGGTTCAAGGACACTCTTGAGGAAGCCAAAGCTGGGAACATCACTATGCAGGTTTTGTTGGGTCAGATGTATTACTCTGGCTATGGAATCCCTAAAGATCCTCGAAAGGTTTCTTCTTTTTCCTTTTCAATCCTCTTCACTTTAGCTTTTTCGGTTTAAGTGGTGAAATCTTTAATTAATGAGCTCGATTCGAGTTTTTTCTTCTGTTTTTGACATTTTGGAAGTTAATTCAGTTATCATCTCTCTGATTAACGCAGGGGAGACTTTGGATTACTAAAGCATCAAGAGTTCGTTCTTCGGTGTGGAAAGTCAAGGATAAACGACCAGGTTTGAATTGAATCACAACAATTGTGTTCATCACACACAAAAAAAACCTCCTTTTTCGTTTGAATCTAACACTTTTGTTGACTCAGGTTACAACGCAAGTGATTCAGATTCAGATTCAGATTCGGATTCTAGTTAAGCTTACTCGTGTACTCAAGAAGATAAAGTGTTTATCGAAAGAGCTTGTTTTTGTCTCGTCTTGGATATTTCAAGTTCCGACTATATACAATTAGCTTCTTGTTTCCTCGCAAATCTCTTGATGTTTGCTGAATAATTTTGTAACTGTATTGCTCGAATGTCTGATATTGCAATGAAAAGGGGTTTATGACTAATTGTTGTCACTTTCTTTTTCTCAAAGTTAATAATATCAGAGTAAATTTTGTTTATTTTTGATCGAAAGGGTTCTTGAAGTTGCAAGGGTAAAAAGTTGACAAGGAGCTCCATTTATGATTGCACTACCATAAGCTTAAAGTTCAAATTAGTTTTTATAGAGTTGAGTATTCCATATGATGAAAATTCTGATGGGCAAGGTTGCAAGGAGTTTTGTATTAGGAAGCCAATGAATTAAACTCTGAATATATCATAACTTCAACTTCGAAACACACAAATGCTAAGGAACACAATAACTCGCAAGTTGTAATCATTTTAAGTTTGAATCACCCAAACGGCCAATTTTGTTTAAGAATCCTTTTTTCTTGTCATTAACTCATTATTATTTGTCTCTTAAACCAGTTTCAAAACCTAAACCATGAAATAATTGTAAACATTTCCCTCAGAAATCTCTCTTTCTTCTTCAATCACTCCTCTTACTAGTGCCACTACTCAAAAAATGGGGACAAGTTATTCTTTCACCGAAAGCTTTTTTATATCACCAATAATAACAAGATTCGCCTAGAGCAAAAAAAAAGTAATTCTGATTTTCCTCGACTCTGTTTCCATCATTCATTCTCTCCAAGCTCGTGTGCGGCGCAGAAGTAAGATTTTTTGTTTCTAACGTCAGTCATTTGCGTTTCCTCATTTTTGAGATTTTTCCGATTAATTTATTCATAGAATCAACATGGACCTTGGAATGATTATTATTTCTTAGGATTATTGTTTTTTTGTTTTTAAATTTGGATTGAGTATTGTTTATATGGGAATTATTCATATATATCGGAAATCTCGTTCTCGAGATCGATCTTCTTCTAGGAAGGACTTCGTTCTTGTTACATGCAAATGTTGTCTATAGTCGCTAAAACAACAACAGAATTCACTTGGAATTCAGCAATATATATAATGAACAGTGAATCGCTTATCAATGTACAAATTTGGAGTTTTTTTCTTCTCAGCAGAAAAATGGAGAATGAGACTGAAGCGAGCGTTGTACAACAGGAAGAACAACGTGAAGATCAAGGACAAGGGCAGCCACAAAACCCACCACCAGCACTACGACGTCGTTTTGTGATATCTCTATACGTTGGATATTTTCTTGCAAGATGGAGTGCCAGGTTTCATTATATAAAATCTTCATTGATTTGAAATCTTGGATTTCGTTTAGATGGAAGAAGTAAAACCCTTTTTCTCATAGTGTTAGATGATTTGATGAAAATCATGGATACTTCATTCTTGGTTTTTCTTGATGCAGAACTTGGGAATTCTCAGTTGCTCTGTATATGATTTACTTGTGGCCAAACTCTCTGCTTCTCGCTGCGATTTACGGCGCCATAGAATCTGGTTCTACTGCAATATTTGGCCCCATTGTGGGGCAATGGATCGAGGGAATGGACTATGTCAAAGTTCTCAGACTCTGGCTCTTGTGTCAGAACCTCTCCTACACCATTGCTGGTGGTGCAGTCATCAAGTTGTTGCTATCTCCCAATCTTAAGTCCAATAATTCCTCTGTTTTTGCAATCTTGGTTGCGTTGACAAATGTTTCTGGCGCCATTGGGATGCTTTCGACTCTCGGTGGCACTATCCTGATCGAAAGAGACTGGTAATGTTTAGATTTAGTGTGTGACAAAAGTGAAAGATTGCAACACTCAATATATATATACCAATTCATTAAAGTTTATCTTGTTGTTATTATTTTTGATGAAAAGGGCTGTGGTTATGTCGGAAGGTCATCCACCAGGGGTACTGACAAGAATGAACTCTGTCATTAGAGGCATTGATTTGAGCTCGAAGCTACTGTCTCCAGTCATCACTGGTCTGATCATTAGTTTTGTCTCTCTCAAGGCTTCAGCGATCACTTTTGCAGCTTGGGCCACTATAACAGCTTGGGTAGAGTATTGGCTCTTTATATCTGTGTATATTGGTGTTCCTGCGATAATACGAAGCAATGAGAGACGGATCTTGCGCTCTCGGACAAAGCCAGTGGAAGGGAAAGATGCAGCTGTTCCCGTTTGTATCGAGGAGGGGTCTCAGGGAAACCCACCATGCAGAACCGGAATGCTTAAGATTCTTGATAGAATATCCGAGTCCTCTTTTGTTGGCGCTTGGAGAATTTATATCAATCAAGAAGTTGTGCTCCCCGGTGTTTCACTAGCTCTCTTGTTCTTCACCGTCCTCAGGTTTTCTTTCTCTTTCTCTTTGTGAATTCAATCTTGTTCACATACAATGGTATATAGTATGTCAAGTGGATATACTTGTTGCATGATATATTGGATCTTTTACAAATTTGAACCAGCTTTGGAACATTGATGACGGCTACATTGCAATGGGAAGGGATACCTACATATATCATTGGTATAGGCAGGGGAATAAGTGCCACGGTTGGACTAGCGGCTACAGTTGTCTATCCTCTAATGCAATCCCGTATCTCAACGCTGAGAACCGGCCTCTGGTCCTTCTGGTCTCAGGTATATATATACACACCTATGGACCGTGTTTAGATTCATCTGATGGGTTACAACACAAGTCTTTTGGTCATTCTTTGTTAGATATAGTCTTCATGAGTTTTGTTGGATCCTATATGAATCTAGTAGGACTTGGCCATGTATGGAACTTAAGTAATCCAATAGAAAAACAAAAAAGAGTATATATACCTTTGGACAGCGTCTAGATTCATCTGATTGGTTATTACAAAGTGTTTTTGTCATTCTTGTTAGATATAGTCTTTACTTTTGACCATATTATGGAACTTGAGTAATCCAATAGAAAAACAAAGAGTCACAAAGGTAGGGTTCTTGTTCTTGCAGTGGAGCTGCCTTTTGGTATGCGTTGGATCGATTTGGGTCAAAAAGGATAACATAGGATCTTACATGCTAATGGCCGGAGTTGCTGCTTCGAGGCTTGGCTTGTGGATGTTTGATCTTGCCGTCATCCAACAAATGCAGGTTTGTTAAACATTGATTTCTGTAGTATATATGGTTACAGCTTGTTTGTGTTTTGAAAGAGTTATTAATATATAATAATGTTTGGTCTTAATTAGGATCTAGTTTCGGAATCCGACCGTTGTGTGGTTGGAGGTGTACAAAACTCGTTGCAATCGGCTCTTGACTTGATGGCATATCTATTGGGTATCATTGTATCCAATCCAAAGGTAACAAAATCCACTTACATTACAAGGATCATTAATTTTACGATTAGTGACATTTTACGATAAGGATTATAAGGATCACGTTAACATATTAGTGGTTTATTTGTTTTTAATAACTATGAAAGCGTAAAAAATACACATTGGAACAATAAAGGTCTCGTAATGTCTAATTTGGACTGTATGTGATTTTCAGGATTTTTGGATATTGACGATTGTCTCATTCTCTACGGTGACGTTAGCGGGATTAATCTATACAGTTCATCTCTACCGCATCCGAAACCATATTTTTCACTTTGAGAAAATCCCTTTACTGAACAAATGTTGTTTATTCAGGCTACTCCCTTCTCGTGGTAACATGTAATGCTGTGGAATGCGCCACACCAATTCTTAAACATGCATATATAATCAATGTCCTTTATAATGTTCTCATGAAATATATTCGCAATTTCGTTTTAGAAAAGTTATTTACTTAAATTATGATTTGCTGTTTTGGAGATCCAGGCGAAAAAGAATCCAAAACGCACTTAGCAAGTAAGCATATATCAATTGCTTTTATACGAATCCACAAAAAAAAAGCACCTAGAATTACTTTTGAGAATTCTACGTTGCTTCATTGCTTTTTTTTTAAACATCATCCGTTTAACATTTTCAGAAACGCAAATAAAATAAATATTTAAAAGACATTAGAATTAGTTAAAAACACACGTTAAATTACCACAAACATTAAGAAGAATGATGAAGCCTCTTCTTGGCGTTTTCTGCTTCATCGGTTGCGTCAACTTGCATTTTTGACTCTGTTAGCTGAGCTTCCGTAGCTTCTTTCTCGCTCTTTGCCGTCAGCCTTCTTGTCTTCCAAACCAAATATTTCATCAATCAAATATATATTTTCCTCAAAACATAAAAATAAAAACTTTGGGACAGGTTCTAGTATTTGACCACACAAAAAAAAGAGAGAGTATTTCACTATTTTGGTAATTAATATAAAATAATTAGAATAATATGAAGTTAACCAATAAAGCAATACATGAACCACCTAAATTACGTCACGTGATCATGATTAAAGACCCATGAGTGTCTGAGCCGCTTGACTCAGTGGCTCGAACCACACACACTCCATGGAAGCTTAAAAATTGAAATAGTGATAAATAATATAATTTCGAAAACGACATCATACTATAGATGTACCTGGCCGACAAAAAAGGCTTTGACGTAGCTAAACCCTTCCTGAACCGTGACCACCATGGATAAACAGCTCGTCTTCACACGATCCATCAGAGATTCCGACGACCGTCGCGATGTGTCGGCCTCTCGCTTCGGAATCTTAAACCGGTGACGTTTAGAGAGGGAGAGAGAGAGATATTTTGAAAGCCAGCTAGGCTACGATGTATCTCACTTGCTTTCTTGTGCCAAAGATTCTTTTTAACTACTATATAATTAATTCCTCAAAAAAAAAAAACTATACAATAAAGAAATGATTTTGGAAGGAAACATTGACAGGTCCGCATACGGTGTCGGCTGTAGAGATCATAGACGTGTACTTTACTCTTGGGCTTTTTTGGGCTGAAATTGTCATAGGGGTCATATTGCAAGAAACTGATCACCTGAATTGTCCTATAAGCGATTGACGAATCTCTAATTCTCTACGCTGGACAAAACAAATAATGTGTTCTGTTCAAATATTGAGGTCTACACACTTTCAGCAGAAGCAACAACACTATCACTTTCTTGATCTGACATAACATTGGGAGGCTCCATGATTACTATTAAGTTGATCGGGAGCTCTAAACTCTGGTGTGTGTAGTCACAACAAAACAGTATAGTTAATGATTTGAAAAGATTTCAAGAACGAGCAGTCTCAATAAATTTGCCTGTCATATGGGAAACAAAAGAGGTTCCACAAACAATCATATCGGTTAAGTTATATGGATTTTGAAATCAAAACCAATTAGCAATGGATTATTGATTAAAATTATATGTTAAATTTTAAATTTTATAACCAATAAGTTATATGTTAAATATTAAAATTTTAATTATTGATTAAATAGATTGACCAAAACTGAGCATTGCAGTCAAGATAATTTGGTGCATGAGAGAGTTTAAAACTTTGAAAAAACAAAATTAGGTGAAAGGGATCACAAGAGGAGCATCGAATAAAAACTTCACTGGCAGAGTTAACCTTTGTTCCTAAGATATCGCCTCTCACACAAGCGTTAAGCACAGTTTATCAAATCAATACCAAACCTTAAATCTTGTCACATCACACAAAAATGAATAAAAAGTATGGATCCATTAAACTCTTATCGCAATCATAGGTCTGTCTACTCAGTACTCACGATCCTAACTCCTAAGAGCCTACACTAAATACATGCACCCAATATTCCATTAGAGTTTTAGTCATGATTTTTGTAATTAATCAAAACATTAACCCAAAAAGTGTTTTTCTAATTTTTGAAATCAAAATATATTTAATGAATCAATGATGATGCAAATAAGATATGACAAAGAAAAAAAAGTAGAATTTTATTTATATTACGAATTATTTTTTTTAGATAATATATTATTGTCCAATAATATATATAGTAAACCTTAGTTTTATTGAAAGTTCTTTAAACTTTTGTCTATTTAAAATTCTATACAGGCCGTGCAAATTTAATATGGAGAAAATCTATTTGGCAAACATAATTCTGGATTTACACTCAAATCCAAAAAGATCATCAATAACCTTCTAACAAATAGACTCAAAACCAGCTAGCCGCCAAGGGATCGGATTTAATTTCAACTCTAATTGGGAGGTTCTGCTAATGAGGTTATTCTGCAAATTACTCATAAAACTCACTCCTAATCTTTACTCATGTGTGTTAAAAGGAAGAGAGGACCTTTTCTACTACCTACTACTAAAGCAGTCAAAAATTTCCAAGAATCCCTTAATGTTTTGAAATCGTATTTTTATCGAAATTAAACGAAATTACACGTGGCATTAAGAAAGGCATCCAAAAGATGATGAAAGCGTGAAGCTGATGGAAGCCGCCTCTCATATGAATCTTGTTCAAAGTCAAGGCCACAAGGTCTGACCATCTCCTCCTCTTCTTCTCCATCTTCTACTCTTTTCAACGGTCAAACATTTTATCACCTTCTCAGAAACTACACATCTTTTTTTTTTTTCATTTGTGCCATAAAAAAAACCAAAAAAATAAATAATTATTCACCAATCAGACCGTGCAATATGTTTTTTTATATATACAGACAGAACAAACAAATACATAAACATTGCAAGAAACCCATCGCATCAACCTTTTTTTTCTTCTTCTTCGCCCCCTTCTCCAAGCTCTCCTAACACTTTCTATAAATATCTGAAATCAGTCTTTCATAAGAAAGGTAAAAAACTTCCATTTTTATGTATGGCTGCTTCTTCTCTTCTTACTATGGACAATAGCAGAACCAGACGAAACATGAGTGGTTCTGCTAATTGGTCACAACAAACCGGAAGAACATCAACGTCATCTCTAGAGGACCTTGAGATCCCAAAGTTCAGATCTTTTGCTCCTTCTTCCATCTCAATCTCTCCTTCTCTTGTCTCTCCTTCCACTTGTTTCAGTCCCTCTGTTTTCCTCGATTCCCCTGCTTTTGTCGCCTCCTCTGCTAACGTAAGCCTCTCTGTTTTTTTTTTTTTGTCAATTTCTTTTTACATGAATTAGACTAATGATTATCTGGGCTTCTTGTAAAGATCATTAATTTATCATCTGTTGTTGAAGAAAATGAATTGTGATCGGAAGTAATAAAAGTCATGGGTCAACGATTTCTTTAGGAGAGAGATAAACAGAGAGAGTGAGAGTGTTTTGAAAATCATGCTTGATTCTATTCTCAGGTTACGTTGCTTAATTATATTGATGTTTGCCTCCCTTGCTTGAATTCTGAACAAATCCCTAATTTTATTTGAAAACCCCTAATTAGAGAGAAAGTTTCAAGGCAGAGTAAATGATAGTATTACTGTTTTGCAGGTTCTTGCTTCTCCAACCACAGGAGCTCTTATCACAAACGGAAGTAACCAGAAAGATATAAATGAAGAAGAGAAGAAGAACAAAAACAACATTAACTTCTTCGATTTCTCATTCCAGACACAGTCATCAGGAGTTTCTGCTCCTACAACAACAACAACAAACACTTCTATCCATTCACAGGTATGTTTCTCAACAGCTCAATCCTCTAATCCCTTTTTTCTCTCATGGGTTGTTCCTCAACTTTAAATGTTTTGTGTTGCAGGAACAACAGAGGAAGAACCAGTCAGATCAATGGAGCCAAACGGAGACTCGTCCAAACAATCAAGCTGCATCTTACAATGGAAGGGAGCAAAGGAAAGGAGAAGATGGTTACAACTGGAGAAAGTACGGACAGAAACAGGTGAAAGGGAGCGAGAATCCTCGGAGTTACTATAAGTGTACTTTCCCAAGCTGTCCAACGAAGAAGAAAGTGGAGCGATCTTTGGAAGGTCAGATAACAGAGATTGTGTATAAGGGAAGCCATAACCATCCTAAGCCTCAGTCCACCAGAAGATCATCTTCTTCTTCCACATTTCATTCAGCTGTGTTTAATGCCGGCCTTGATCATCATGGTTCTTCTGATCAACCCAATTCCAATAATAGCTTCCATCACTCTGATTCCTTTGCAATCCAACAAGAGGATAATACTACTTCTGGTTCTATTGGAGACGATGAGTTTGAGCGAGGCTCATCGGTTATCAGCAGAGAAGAAGAAGATTGTGGCAGTGAACCTGAAGCAAAGAGATGGTAAGATCATCCATCAATGTCTAAATTCGTCACTCTTTAAACAACCTAGAATGAGAAAGTTTCTAACATTCTTAATGTTTGTTTTTTTGTGTGTTTTAGGAAAGGAGAACATGAAACAAACGGTGGGAATGGTAATGGAAGTAAGACAGTGAGAGAGCCAAGAATTGTCGTGCAGACAACAAGTGACATCGACATTCTTGATGATGGTTACAGATGGAGAAAATACGGCCAAAAGGTCGTCAAGGGAAACCCAAATCCAAGGTAATAACATAAAGATTTGAACTTCTCACTAATTACAATTAATCAAGGCTCTAAGAATCTAACATTTGATGTTTCTTTTGACTTGATGAATCTAACAGAAGCTACTACAAGTGCACAACCATCGGTTGCCCCGTGAGAAAACATGTTGAGAGAGCATCACACGATCTGAGAGCGGTAATAACAACCTACGAAGGGAAACATAACCACGACGTACCTGCAGCTCGTGGTAGCGGTTACGCCACAAACAGACCGTCACAGGATTCTTCTTCAGCCCCAATTAGACCAGCTGCTATTGCTGGTCACTCCAATTACACTACTTCTTCTCAAGCACCATATACGCTTCAGATGCTGCAGAACAACACTAATTCCGGGAGTTTTGGTTACGCTATGAACAATAATAACAACAACCTTCAAACGCAACAAAACTTTGGTGGTGGTGGTGGGTTCTCTAGAGCAAAGGAAGAACCAAACGAGGAGTCCTCGTTTTTTGATTCGTTTTTGTCGTGAAGAAGAACCTATCTTTCCTTTTGTACATTTCTGCCAGAAAAGGGTTTATCTACTTACTAGTAATCCTGCAGATACTAAGACTATAGGCTATAGTCCATAGAGAAATTATTTCATTTGTTTTTTTTCCGTGGCTCTTGCGAGCTTTCACACGCCTGTAATATCTTTACTGTTTTTGTACCATACAAGTAGAAAAATGGAATAAAGCCAGTCAATTTTCACATGTTTTCACTTTGTATAATAATGTATCAAAAGAATAACACACACACAGTTCAAAGACGCGAATAACAGAAGCAGTACTGTCTTGATCAGTATCAGCTATATGAACACATATAAAAGAATGAGATTTACACGTATTGCAGAGATGACCACGGTATAAAAACGATTGAAAGCACATATTGCAGAGAGAGGCTTGAAGCGGATTCAGATAAAAGAATGAGTGGAGAGTTTGTAACCAGAGAGGAGAGCAGAGAGAGCTAAAGAGACGAAGGCGAAGATAGCCATGCTGATAGCTGAAGCAGCGGAATCAGTGAATATGTTATCTTGACCTTCTCTGAATCTGTTGGTCAATGGAATTGCAGAAGACGCAGCTGATATGAGAAGATACGCAACAATCTGCAATTACAAAAAAAACAAAACTTTTTAACTGTTTTACGAAAAAGTGATCCTCTTTTCAATTTCTTTACAGTTTCGGTATCTTCGTTACCTGGTCGCCGGAGAAATCGAGCAAGATGGAAGTCCGGCGATCGAAGAATTCCCTTTTCGAGAAATGAGCAAACGTTTGCCACGCAGTGTATAATGTTGAAATTATCGCAATCGCCAATACATATCTGAAGAAAATAAAAAAACTTGAGAGTCGAAAAATGAGAAATCTCAAAACTTTAACAGAAATTCCCCGTGAATTTCAAAACCCAAGTATCAAAATCGATCATTTCTGTATCGGAATTAATGGAATCGGACCTGTACTCTTCGTAATCGTCGAAGTTTCGGCCGTATCCATGTTTATTAGATACCATAATAATGAATGCAAGGAGAGAGAACAAGAGACACACTCCTCTCATAATCGGAGACGCTTTCTTTATCAAATCCTCCCTTTTCCATCTCTGAGTAATCGCAGAAAACGACGACGTCTTAGTCTCCGTCGTCTCCGCCGGTGCCTCCACGTCGGCGGCAACTTCAACCGGTTTCTGGTTATCGGGATTTGTCATGCCGAGAATTCTCCGATAGATCTCAAAACTCCGATCGGAATCGGTTTGCTTTCAGTTCTTATGAATGCGAAGAATCGGGAGAAGGGATAACAAACTTGGAAGAAAAGAAAACTCCAAATTTTTTGGTTGTAAAAATATGATTTAAGGTTTGGGGTTTTATTAAGCTAAATGAGGAAAGCGCGTAACGGCGGGAGTGATTAAGTTAATGAAAGTGATTAAACAGTTTATGAAGCGCACGGCGCGTAACAAAAAGATTCATTTACAAAGCGTATAAGTTAGTCGTGGCCTGCATTTACAGACAGCGAATCCTAGGAATCTCATTGGCGGACTAAAAAATAAAAATAAAAAATTCGGTTAAACTTTGTTTTCCCAATAAAAAATCCTGACTCTTCTAAAGACTGAAGAGAAACATAAAATCCGTGTAAAAGAAGAAAAATCGTTGTGTTTAATTAGGGACGTTAAAGAATAATTATATTTACCATGAATTTGTTTGGAGAGTATTTTCTAGAAACATTGAATATTTGTCGTTTTATTGTAAGTTTGATGAATACGGTGATTATCATTAACTCATCCTATAAATATCAAGCCATATGTAATTTGAGAAGTTGTGATGCATGTTACATAAATTTCATGCAAAGAAGAATTCGTGTTCCACAAGTTCAAGAAATATATAGTTTAGAAAGTTTTAGGGTCTTTATGACCATAAAAAAGTTATAGGGTCTTTAGATAAATTATTATAGGCTGTCATTTGTTTCTTTTTTTGTTTTTGTTTTGGTTAAAACACTAAGTTTTTCTTCATGACGATTATCTCTTTGGTCGTATCTCGAATCAAACTCGATTTTAAGATTGTAAACCTAGTAAATCAGATATAGTGTACTATAGAATTAAGATTTTGTGCGGACGTTGCATGATAAATTCATAGATTATCAATGTTGTTTTAGAAATAGATTTATGCTAACATTCTGTACTTTCAAGAAGAATTCGATCAGGAAGATCGTTATATATACAAGCTTTCAAAACTACGATATAATTCTAATTTACTAATTACAAGAAAGCACAAGTTTAGTTTAGCAAAAAAAAAAAGAAAAGAAAGCACAAGTCGTATGTTTTGTTGGTTTGTCAATGATAGATGAACTTCTCGCATACTTAAAAACAAAGCAAACAAAAAAAACTACTTTACGGGGGAGATTAGTTATTTCGAAACTCAAGACAGTAGGTCAGGGTTATAATAGTTCAACAAAGTTTACAACAAGTGGAGTTCTCAATTTTTAAGGAAGTTTAATGATGGATAACATCGTGTCCTGGACTCCTGGTTACGTTTTGAATACAAGACCTTGACTAAGTCTACCACACTCTTGTAGTCTTCAGTATGTTGTTTCAGAATATTGTTAACGACTTGGAGAACTTTAGAACTCGGCTTAGACCAAAAAAAAAAAACTTTAGAACTCGGCGTGTCAGATTTTGCATTGACCACCATTAGATATGCTTATCAGCAGGCATCACATCGATTTGTGGCATTGTAAGATGTTTGAAATTTTAATTTAATGTAAATTCATTTTACCAAACATAATTTAACTTTGATTAATTCTTAAAGAGCGTAATTGTTTTTCAATGCCATATGTGTGATAACCTACAAAGTCTTTCATATTTTTTATTATTAAATGCTCCATTATTTAATTTAAAGGAACATTAAGTCGGAAAAATCAACCTTCTTACACAAATAACAAAGGAAAAATCTTACGTCAATTTATATCTTATCTCATAATATTTTTTAATATATATATATATATATAATGTTCAACCAAAAAAATATAAAATATAAATTAATCCTGTCTTTGGCTTATACCGATAACATGCATGTAATATTAAATTTGAGCTAAGGTGAATGTTATAATTTGATGTAGCTTGTAGTAAAAAAAATTAAAGAAATTTATTGTTTCTTTCCTCTTAAATCACACGATATAATTTTAAAAACTGGACTAATTTTTATTCTTATAATTAGATATAAAAAAGCAAAAATCAACTCAACCTTTCATACATATGGTTTTCTATAATGCTGAATTAACTTTTGAATTATCAAGTTTATAAAAAAAATACATAATTCAAAACTGTAAACTAGCCATCACACATTATAACACAAATTTAATGATTGATAACATTTTCTTACATCAATAAGTCAAATTAAATTAAAGATATCACATGCTATGCTATTAATCACACCCTTTATTTACTGTATCTCGACATATGTCATATGTAAGTTATTGCAGAAAATATATATTAAATAAGGGATATTTTGAAAAAAAATTATGTATTTGGATAAACCTAAAACGAAGGGGGCGCATCAAAGGCACCACCGACTAAATAACAATAGGTTTGGGATCATATTAGACCCAGCCCCGATTCACCGTCCGGTTCTCCTTTCTCTTCATCGTCATCAATCTTTCGTTTTCCTGTTTACGGTTTCTTCGCTGCCAAGAATCGAACGACGCGAATTGGATCCGAATCTCAAATCTGCACTCCAACTCCAATCACGAGCCCTTTGCTTTTCCCCGATTATCTCCTTTTGATATCGGTAAGTTTCCTTGTCTCTCTCTGCCCACTATCTCTCTTGAGTCGTTCACATTGCACCGTGACTTAATTCGAGCTCGCTCCCGAACTGGGTTTCCCTGGTTCTGGTCGCTAATTGTATAAATCGAATCGATTTTTCCATTTTTGAATGTGGGCGGTCTTCAATTTGATTCGATTGTTCGTGCATTAGGTGTTTTGTTGATTCTCCAAGCCCTAAATTTTTGCTGAAGTTCTTTGAGCTGGGGCTAGTATACTTCGATGGTATACAACCTGGAAGGGAGAATAAGGTTAGGGTTTTCTGTCGTGAGCACATCCCCTGAGTTTCCGAGTTTAGGGTTTTTTTTTTGGAATTGATTCGGTCTGCTAAGAAGAAGAAAAGGGTTGGTTTGAGAGGATAATGTGTATATTGTGTGTTATTCAAAAGTGGTCTCGCCGGGTTGCAACGATGCTGCCTTGGTTGGTTTTACCGTTGATTGGACTATGGGCTCTGTCTCAGCTTCTTCCACCAGCTTTTCGTTTCGAAATAACTTCTCCGAGGCTAGCTTGTGTATTTGTGCTTTTGGTTACTTTGTTCTGGTACGAGGTCTTGATGCCTCAGCTATCTACTTGGCGGGTGCGGAGAAATGCTCGTCTTAGGGAGAGAAAGCGATTTGAAGCTATGGAGCTGCAAAAGCTAAAGAAAACCGCTACACGGCGTTGCCGTAACTGCTCAACACCTTACCGTGACCAGAATCCAGGTGGTGGACGGTTTATGTGCTCATATTGTGGGCATATATCTAAGAGGCCTGTTTTAGACATACCTGTGCCTCCAGGGTTAGGGCTTTCTGGTTCTGGAATTTTGAAGGATCTTGTTGGAAGAGGTGGTAAGATGTTGAATGGAAAGGGATGGAATGAGAATGGATGGATGCACGGGCCAGAATGGTCAGAAAACAGCACATGGACTAGCGAGTCAACCTATTGGCGGAATAATAGTGGTAGTACATTTGGAGAAGATGAGAATTGTTTGGGGGATAGATCATATCCTGGTGGCGTTGTTTTTGCTTGCCGACTCCTTACTTCTTTTTTTATGAGCATTAGGTGGCTTTGGAGAAAGATTTTTAGCTTTAGCTCTTCGGTTGATGAGTCGTCAACTGATGCTGACCAGAGGCGATTACTGTCGAGACAGGGTGAGAATGGGACCAGCTATCATGAGAGCAGGGTTGAGAAAGCACGCAGAAAAGCTGAGGAGAAAAGACAAGCTAGGCTGGAAAAGGAGCATTTGGAGGAAGAAGAGAGAAAACAACGAGAGGAAGTCGCGAGACTAGTGGAGGAACGGAGGAAGTTGAGAGATGAAAAAATTGAAGCCGAGAAATGCAGCAAATCATCACCTGGTTCCAAGGAAAAGGATATTAAAAAAGAGGCAGAAAAGAAGCGCCAGGAGAGGAAGAAGGAAAAAGATAAGACCTCTAGTAAGAGCAATTCCGATGCAGAAGAGCTTGACAAGAGAATAGGAAAGGAAACTGAGCATAAGCGTGAGCTTGATAAGAATAATCATTCCGAACATCAGAGGCATGCGTCTGATAATTCCAGGAGCCCCATGGAAAGGAGACATGGGCACGGGGTAGATAATAATGGTACTAGTAACACTAACACGACAGGAGCTGGCGGTAGGTACTTTGATCGAGTGAAGGGTACGTTCTTCTCTTCTTCTAAGGCTTTTACAGATAACCGGTTCTTTGGAAGAGGTGTCAATATGTCTGCTACAATTGCAAAAGAGAATAAGCCCATCGGCTCTACAGATCATTCTCATGCATCTGCTCATACGAGGCATATTAATCCTCCTGAATTTGTGGCTGGAAAATCTGGTTCAAATGGAGGAGAAAGGAATACTAATCGTCCTGTAAGTGTTCTTGCCAAATTGCTTATGTCATTATGATCCGGTTCATGAAAGCAGTCTACTTTTTTGCAGTTATAAATCACCCGTCTCTTTTGATTTCATCTATTTTTTGTTTGTTAAGTTGATAAGTTTGTCATATAATTTTCCAAAGTCGTTATGTTCTTGAAGTATGTTCAACTTAGATTTGGTTCTAGTTTTCTTCAGCTTGTTTTATAAGGACACTGATAAATATTATGATGTTCCCTCAGGTTATTACTGAGCCGCAGCCAAGTGGAGAACCTAAAAAGTCATGGCAGCAACTATTCACCCGTTCGCCGTCTGTGCCTGCTTCCTCCAGTGTTAATGTTATAAGCCGACCTAGTACAAAGCCCAAAACCGTTCAGAATTCACAGGCTCCTTGTCAAGATCATTCAATACGAACCTTTGACAATCCAATCAGTTTTGGGCTCCCATCACCATTCACTATGCCAACATACTCTAGCGGATCGACTATCGGTAGCTTAGGTTTCTCATCTGAAAGAGATATTGTTCTCTCTCAGGCTGGGGAAAATGCTCGTCCTTTTATCCCCGAAGAAGAGCATTTTGAAGATCCATGTTATGTTCCGGATCCAATATCTCTACTGGGACCTATTTCAGAATCACTTGATCTAAGAGCTAAGTTTGAAACTGGTGTTGGACTG